TGGACGACGCTGGACGACGCTGGACGACGCTTGGTGACGCTTGGTGACGATCAACATAGGATACAGATTTCAACTACTATTATAATAACTTATTATATTCGATATAAATCATAAGATGCATGCATCTTAGACTTAGGTCCTAGTTTTAAAAATAATATAAGGAAGATTTAAGATTTAGTATTAAAGTTTATAATTTAATATTTTTATTGTACATTGTTGCATTCGATATAAGTAGTATACATTTTAGATTTAATCTTTAGATATAAAATTGTATCATTTTAATGTATTAATCATTTTGTTAAATAAATTAATATAATACCCCCAGATGGGTCTCGATGCGTAGTCACCTCCTCGTGGGTGAGACCCGGTAATTGGCATCGTTTTTCGTATTTTTCGTTTAAAAAAGTATTTTATGAATATTCCATTAGATATTTTTCGAAATTTTTTAAATTATATTTCATCATTAATAGATTTTGAAAAGCGATGGCAAGCCAAGAACTACGCACATCTTCAGTCTAGTCTAAAATATTGATTTAAATTATTAAATTATTAAATTGATTTAAATTATTTTAATTAATTATTAATGGACTAGACTAAATGTACTAATAAAATCTATACAAGGATTTTCTGGCTAATCCTTTTTGTTTTTGTATTATTTTTTAATTTTTAATAAAATTTTTTTTAGCATTATCTTTATTCTCTTTTTTTAAATGAAACCAAAATATTTTTAATACAGATATTTGTTAGTTAGTTAATGCATTCATTATAATATATTACATTTGATGTAATAAATAATAATATACGCTTTGAGATACGCTTTGATAATATGTGCGCTTTTGATTTAAGTCCTAGTTTTAAATATGATATATAAAACTTCATCTTTTGTCAATGTTGGTGAATGTCTTGGTGTAATTCTTGGAATTTTCCGGATGGAAAATAGCGAACGAAATAATTGGGTATGATTTCTATTACGATTTGTATTACGATGACGTAATATAATTGAACTTCTCTTGAAATTTTCTCTGTCAATTTTCTCGAAAGACCAAATTATATGAAATATTTTCAGCTTTAGCATTTTGAGCGTAAAATTAAAACTAATAATAGAGAAGTAATATAAGAGAAATGCATTTAGGAAAAAAATATGTAAAATATGTATGTGAGAATTATTTATTATTTATTTATTACTATTATTTATTAATATTAAATATTGTTAATTACTATATGAATAAAAAGACAAAAACATTTACAGTACTTATGTTTCTATTATATTTTAAAATAAATAAATTTAAAGAAAATCTTATCATATTTGCATGAAAGTTGTTGTTTTTTCTTAATTGCCATGATATATACACAAAAAATTATTAATTTTCAAAGCTATCCCGCTTTCAAAATTCCAATCAAATAATAATGTCACATAGAAACTTAAATCTAGTATAATAATGGTTACGCAAATATATATTAATTAAATTATGAGTTAATAATTTATATTATGAATTTTTATGAAGTTTGATAACTATACAATACAATTTTCTATCAATAAATTTTATTTAATTACGTATTATTACCGATAAAACGCAATTTGTCATCATGATTTTCAATTGTAAATTGAAATAAGTGATATGCGCACAATGATGTACTTTGATTAATTTTGCCACTAGACTTTAATCGCTTTCTGATTGGTTGAAGCGATACAGTTCATTTCAGCTGCGCGAAAATTAAAGTATAATTAGAAATATTTAAATTTTTAAATTAGAAATATTAAAAATATAATAAGAAGAGATTATTATTACCAATTTAATATAATTTAATATTATTTAATATTATTTAATTATATTTAATTGTAATATATAATATTTATATATAATAAATTATAATAATGTTTTATTATTAAATTATAATAAAAATTTATTATAATTTAACATAAAAATTGTCCAAAAAAATGATTGAAATATAAGACTAAAAATTTAAAATAAAAATTGTTTAAATATAAAAAATACATAATACAAAAAAAAATATAAAATGTAATATAATATTTCATCATTTATTTTTTTATAATTATTTTATATATAAATGATTTTGAAATACTTAAAAAATTCATATTATTAAAAAATTCATATTCATAAATATTATTTTAGAAAATATTAAATTCAAAAATTTGAAAAAAATATTTTATTTTTAGATTTTATAGAATTTATAATCTATAATTAATTTTTGTCAAGATTAATTATGAAATATATTATAATTAGTATTCTAGAATGATAGTCTAGTTCCGGATACATGGAATAAAAAATATATTAAATATTAGATCTATTCCATATTTCGTCTATGGTTAAGGCATGAAACAAAAACATACATCGAATGTTACGTCTATGCTATGCTTCATTTATGTTCTTTTAGATATGTTTTTACGAAGCATTTTTCATCCGAAATTTTGAAATTATATAAAATTCTTGGAAATTTTCTGATTTTTTGCACGAATGCTTTTAAATTTAAAATATGAGATGTATAATCTCTTAAGATAGTTCTTTCTGTTTACATATCTCTATAGATATAGATAAACCATAGATAAAATACAGTGTAGATCCATTATGTACTTTTATTTTATTAATGTACTTTTCTGATTTTTCATAAATAAATTACAATAGATTTATTACTATATATAAGTGGCGATAAAAAATCTTTACATATGTCATCCATCACATGAATTCTTATATTAAGAATAGTGAAAGATTAAAAAGATCTAGATTCTTAGATTAGATTTAGATTTTTATAATATGGTTCGATAAAACATTTGCTATTTCGTTTCCTACTTTTATTTGATTATTGTATGAATCATATTACTGAATAATATCAATTTTCCTCGTTATTCTCAATGTGGGAATTTGTGCTGCAAGCCTGGATGCATGACAGAATGCAGTTTTGTGAATTGTAGTTTTGCAGTGTCATTTACCATATGCCGTGAATGCACTCTAATTTGTGTTACACGTGATTGAGAACATGGCAGCTAAAATGCAGCATTTTGATCCACCAAGTTCGGCCAGCTCAGAAAGGTAATAGTATTTCGCTATATATTTCATCAATTACAATGTATATTCATTGAATTTTATGTAATTTAGTGATGATGAAGTTTGTTTGGGTGAAAAAGAAATTTTCCTTGTTGATGAATTATGCGAAGATGCTGAACATTATAGACGTTCTGATATTGGGACTCCTACACCGCAGTCTCCGAGGCCACCTTCTACAGGTGAGATTTTTTTTATTCACATTTTTTGTAACATAAATTTTTTTATTTGAGTTTCTTACTTATTTTGGTGATTGAATAAGTGATATACTAATTATTTACAGAATCATTGATTTGGAGTACCTGTGTTTGGCAAACAGGATGTACTTGGTTTACTGAAGTAGAGTCTTTTTATAATTTGAAGAAATCAATTAAAACTTCCAAAAGTACCTTTATCCTTCATCATACCACCTATAGATTAAAATTTTTATTCTTGATTTTTATTAAATTTTCTTTTGTTTATTTATATATCTTTTTAATTTAATACAATTTTGTATAATTTTAAAAATGAATTAAAAGAGTTATTTTTGTTTTGTTTATTAGGTTCACAGAGATCACCCAGATCGAGGAGACAACGTACTACTAGTTTATCTCAGTCTAGCAAAAAAACTTCTGCAGAGTCTATTCTTAGAAGTAAAACAAGAACAATATACACAGCTGGTAGGCCACCATGGTATAATTCAGCTGGCCAACAAGTAGAACCTTTTGTAATTGGTTGGTAACAATAAAAATATATATATTATTTTAAAGGAAATTATATGTGTAATTATATTAATTGATAATATTATGATTTTTAGGTATTTGTGGAGGTAGTGCATCTGGAAAAACTACAGTTGCAACAAAAATTATAGAATCTCTAGATGTACCTTGGGTAACACTTCTTAGTATGGACTCATTTTATAAAGTATGAAAGATTTGTTATAAGTACTATTCTTTAAAAATGAATCCAAATAAACAGTATGTAATTTTTGGTACAGGTATTGAATGAAAAACAGCATGAAATGGCTGCACGCAACGAGTATAATTTTGATCATCCTGATGCTTTTGATTTTGAGTTACTTAAAACAACGTTACAGCGTTTGAAAGAGGGTAGAATGGTGGAAGTTCCTATCTATAATTTTGTAACGCATTGTAGAGAAAGTAGAACTGTATGTTGATATTGATAAAAATATTACATATATATATATACATATATATACATATATATATATATAATATATTTTTTGTATATATTATATTATTTTATGTTTCAAAGAAAACAATGTATGGTGCCAATGTGATTATATTTGAGGGAATATTCACATTCTACAATGTCGACGTGTTGAAGGTAAGCCGACCTACTGTCAAGAAAGCAGAATGAGTGGGTTTGAACACGTAAGGTACGAAAGTAAAAACCAAATTACCATTGATCTACTTCCTTCGATTGGTCAAGATGTGCGACATGAAGGTGTTTGTTGATACTGATGCTGATGTGAGGCTTGCTCGGAGATTACGTAGAGATATATCACAAAGAGGAAGAGACTTGGAAGGTGTATTAAAGCAGTATAGTACTATGGTACAACCTGCTTTTTATTATTATATAGCTCCATTAATGGTACACGCGGATATTATTGTACCTCGTGGCGGAGATAACGAAGTCGCGATAGAACTCATTGTACAACATGTACATACACAGCTTCAATTGGTAAAATTAATGGTTTCTTAGATGTTGGTATCTTTTATTCAATATTTACTTATTATCATTTCCTATTCTAGAGAGGTTTCAAACTCAGAGAAAAATTAGCTCATTCTTATATCGGTCAGCCATTGCCATCTTCTCTCTACCTGCTTCCAGATACACCTCAGATAAAGGGCTTACACACATTTATAAGAAACAAGGAAACATACAGAGACGAATTTATATTTTATTCTAAGCGTCTGATACGTTTAGTTATTGAGTACGCATTATCTCTTTTACCTTTCGAGGTAAATGCTAATATATCAATGAAATATAAACGAAATAAGATTTCATTATTTAAATATATTATTTTATATATATATTTATAGGATGTAACAGTAGAAACACCACAAGGAGTATTATATAACGGAAAACGTGCTGCTACGGATAAAATATGCGGTGTTTCCATTTTGCGTGCAGGTGAAACGATGGAACAAGCTGTCAGAGATGTATGCAAAGATATTAGAATAGGAAAAATACTTATACAAACGAATCAACAGACTGGAGAGCCAGAAGTAAGTGTACTTTTATAAAATTCTTCATTTTCATTAAAATATTAATATAAAAATTATCGTAATATTTTTTCAGCTTTATTATCTACGATTGCCAAAAGATATTAAAGATTATAAAGTGATATTGATGGATGCAACAGTAGCAACAGGTGCTGCTGCTATTATGGCTATTCGAGTCCTATTGGATCACGACGTTGCAGAAGAAAATGTGTTGCTTGTATCTCTACTTATGGCAGAATCTGGTGTGCATTCGATTGCTTATGCATTTCCGCGCGTAAAGATCGTAACATCTGCCTTAGATCCTGTGATAAATGAGAAGTTTTACGTATTGCCCGGTATCGGTAATTTTGGCGACCGATATTTTGGAACCGAGCCATCTTCGATCGATGATTAGTACAGTTGATCTCAGTTTCGTCAAAGCTATTTAATCTGTTATTATACAAAATACAGTAATCTCATATTATCTTTAATAAAATTTGTGTTATATTGAGAAATTTATGCAATATTCGATTGTTTTTATTATTATCGATTAATATAATATTCATTTTAATCCATTTTATTATATGATTAAAGTGACGTCGTATCGATATTAGAACCAATAGCGCCTCCTTTTGCATCTGTACTGCGTAATTGTCTGTAACCTCGAGCACTTGCTCTACAAGAACGACGCCAAGAATCCAAATGACCAGAACTGGGATTATTTGACTGTCCCAAAAGATATGTGATTAATCTATCGAGAGCAGCCAAATCTTCGCTCGTACTGCCAGAACCTTCCGGTAAATTAAAACCATTAGATATAATTTGTTCTTTTTGTTCATTTGTAACATTAATTGTCCCACTGCTCATATAAGGTCCAAATTTTGGTGTAAACTATACGAAAAACAATTTTATGTTTTATGTATTATATATAAATAATTACATTAATTAGAAATTTTACGTTACCTCGTCTGGACCATGTTGACCATAACTTGATCTTTGGACTTTGCGGAATGTTTCATCATCTATGGCTTCACGTACCGCTTCATTTAACGTTTGTTCTAGCACGCGTTGTTTTGTTTTACTTAATCCACCGTAAAAACTAATAAAGATTTTATTTATTTTTTCATTAAATTGAAATTATAAATATTCTGCGATTTTAAATAAATAATTTTTATGTATGAATTTGAATTTGAATTTAAATTTGAATATTTGAATTGAATTTATTTTTTTGAAATACCTTAATTTTCTTTTACTTATATTAGAAGTATGTAGAAGTTAGAAAATATAGTTTTTATGATGTGAAAAATTTTAATTACCTCGAATCTAAAGAACTGTTATCTCGTGAAATATTTTTATCACGGACCAAGCGAATATCATGCTCCCAAAAACGACGTAGTTCCGGTGTTGAAGTATACGGAGCGGCTACTTCTTTAATCTAAACAAAAACGACGCATTTAATCTCAGGAGATAATAGTATTTATTTCAAATCATTTATTTTATTTTAAATAAATCTTTTCAAATCAATTATATTATATATAATTATATTAAATATTTTATCCCAATAGATTTATATTAATTAATGAATTATTTTTATTAAAAAATTGTTTCTAATTTAGATATTGTACCATTAATATCTCTCTTTTATATTGATTATATTGATTAATTATATTGATCATTTAAAACATAAAAGAAATGAAACTACGTAATAAATAACTTATATATCCATTGCAGATATTAAATCTTCTTATCTTATATTCTACCCCTATTAATTATATTTATTTACATAATCACGCAACAATAATATGATTTGAAATTGTCAAGAAATCTGCATTCCACATAAGCAAATGATTTCTCACCTTAAGCACGATGATCGCGGTGATAAAGATGCACATTACATTAACAAAGGTTAGACACGCGCTGATTATGCCATTGCAGAAGAATTCGACCGGTAAGTAATCAGTATATACGTAGACATATGAGGTGTTGTAATTGGTATAAGACTCTCCTTTCATGTGCGGCATTTTAATCGGTCGATAAATTAACCATATACATCCAAGCGCCCAGAATAAACCCTATGGGAATAAATTTCATCGATTGTTACGGTCAGATTAATCGCCATCCATTAATCAATCCCTGATGGAATGAGAACGCCCCGCTCGATTGCCGATACCATATCTGTCTTCCCTCGCGAATTATTCTGTCTGTCCGTGACGATAGCTGTCCAATTTCGATGTTTCTCGTGCGAATATATATATATATATATATTTCGATTCACCATCAGATACGTGAATAATAAATGAGCAACGAAAAACTTATAAATTTTTGACTTGATTGATAAAAAGTATTTTTATTTTATTTTATTTTATTTTTTTTATTTTTATTCCTCTGTATATTTATGATTATTGTTTTGTACTTACGCAATTTACTACCGGTGGTAATAAAGAAGCTGATATAGCAACTCCAATTAAGGGACCATTGCTTCCTTGCAACAATGCCACGGCTACGCCTGTGCCTGATGGTAAAGCCCATAACACGCCCATCCAGAGGGATCTATAATTTCCTCTGCGAGAAAATATATAATTCATGTGAATCTTTATTAATTTCTTTTTTTTTTTATATATATATCTCTTTAGTTTTACATACAGAATTTAATATCATTATTTAATATGTGAAAACGTACCTGCCTTTCATCTCATCGGTTGGCCAATCGTTGTAACCCCAAGGCATCTCCGTGGTACCAAGAATGAGACCGAAGATAAAGCCAAAGAGTATAGAGAGGAATATACCTAGTAAGAGACTCTTTAGACCGATAAATTGAAGATTTCTATCAGCTATGATGGTTCCAAAGGTTAAAGACATCACAGGACCCTTAATAATATTTAAAGAAAATAATTAATTATGATTAACAATTATAATCAGAGTTATTGAGATAGAGTTTTACCATTAAGGGAGACACTAACATTGCAGCCACAACATTGGTCGCACTGTTCTCAATGAGACCTAGAGCTGCTAGACAACTATTCGTAATTATAAAATTAAATTGATGAAATAAAGAAAAATAATTTTCAGACATTAAATAAATTTTAATGTCGATAATTCTTACTCTGCAGTCAGTACCAGCAATACATAATCAAACGTGAGATCACCTCCACTACGAACCCCATCAACGACCTGTTTAACCGTCAATTTCGAACGTATGGATTCCACGAAAGCTTTCCAAGCATTATTCCTTTCTTCAGATTCTTTTCGTCTAAAAAAAGGAAAAAAAAAAATTGCAATTTCAAAATATATATTTATTGCGCTTAATTAGATTTAGTGCATTAAGAAAATTTCTTCTCATACCTTCGAGCTAGATCATCTTTGATAGGCGTAGCACCAATACCTCCTATACCGCTATACGTGCACTGGGTCGGAATTACACTGGAAATTGTTCGAAGATGTTTGTAAACGAAGACATTTGGAAAAGCTTCCTGGCGAGAAAATAGAGAGATATTAATTCACCTTACTATGGAGTTCATTTTCACGCCAATTCCCATTTCCGTGAGGCAATGGAGGCAATTTTCGCATGGTTCCCCGGCTGGTACAGGAAATATAACCTTTCCAGAAGGATAAGGTCAGTGAGTAATAAAAAATGAAAATAATTAGCGCACTTATCTTACCTCGTAATACATGTTCTCCTTGTCTCTGCACCAGACAACGTGTTCTACTTTCAGCTTCCTCAGCAATTCTTCTAAGACCTTGGAGAATAATAACGACAGAGAAGATAAAAGAAATAGTTTTGTTGCAATAAATTATAATAGCTTTTATCTTTTTCTTTTTATCTGAAACGGTATCAATATAATTCATTTTTAAAAATGAAATTATATTATTTCTTATAGTTTGTTTAATATTAGAATTATTAAATTTATGAATATTTAGTTTATTGTTTTTTGCAATTATAAATATGTATTTTATTTCAACTTTTGTAGTTTTTTTTTAAAATTCATATTATTAATTGTAAAATTAATAATATAGAAGCTATAAGAAATTCATTCGTATCTTATTATTTTATATATATATTTTTATATATATAATTATCGTATCTTAAAATTTAAATTTCATTCCATTTATAAAGAATTCTTGTATTCTAATATCAAAATTTTCTTATAAGTATATTATTGATGTAAATGATTTTTCATATTTTTCAATTATTTTTGCTATTATAATTTATTCCATATTTTAAAAAAATTAAATTATTATCCGTAGCAAATATTTTTTAAATATTTAATGTAATATATAATATGAATTATAAATACTGTTTCCATCGACACGAAAACCGGATCTTTGTCCCGTTGACCGGAAATGCCACGTCTTCGATTTCTATATCGTCTATCAGCCAAATCATCGTCGATATCGATATCATCCCGCTCGTCGTTATCATTCAATCTTAAAAGATGTGTCTTCGATCTTGTCTCTCTAAGTCTCACATCAACTTTTGGTCCAGTTATAATTTTCCTTGGTTTTTCATTCTTCTTGTTTTGTTTCAAAGGCACGCCAAAGATTAATTCATGTTCATAACTGAACGTCGGTATGCAAACTAAAAATACAACACCGCCAGGCATTTTGATCTGCACAAAAGACAATTGTTTAGTTCAGATTCACGAGGTTTTCGCGAGATTTCGTTTGTTATGCTCCATTCGTTCGATTTCGAAGCGATCGTTGAAGTATATGCATCTGTTTCATTAACAAATTGCTAATTATTTTGTAATTGTTTTGTCATGCTTTCAATTAGCGTGACTTTGTTGAATAGATCGAAGGTTTGATAATTTGTTCTTGATGATTTTTAATTTTTATTTTTTATGGATTTCAATTTGCAGATATTTTTTCCGTATTGTTCGACAATTGAAATCGAATCGTTTATATCGTATAAAGTTTTCTATGAATTTATGATATAATATTTTTGCAATCGCAAAATAATGAAAATATTTTAGAAATATCATATGATGATTTAAAGAAAATGATTTAAAAAATATTTTCATTAAACTCAATATTATCATCATTTATTTAATTAAAAAATAAATAAATAAATAAAATAAAATAAGCATTATTAATAAATATTATTTTAAATTATTTAATATACAATAATTAAAAAAATATGAAAAACTTCGAGGAAGCAGATGTGAAGGTAATTGTAAAATAATTGTTTTTTTACGAAATAAACATTTATTTTAACAAATCAACAGCGTAAAGACTAGCTTCTAGAGACTAGCTCGACGTTTTGTCTGACCTAGGTAACTAGAGATCGCCAGGAATATATCGCACGAAGGGAAATTTCAAATTCATTCGATTTTTACGAAAATTGAATCGATCCTCTATTCTCTTCAAACTCCCTCGGTTTTAAGTATTTTATTTAAGCAATATGTGCGTGAAAATATACTCTTTTAAACAACGAGTCCGAAGGAAAACCTAACGAACGTATTGCCTTAATTGACAAAAACTTTGCGGTATTTGCTTTAATCGCAGTCTTGATCGACGATATTTTTACGTCATTTATTTTTACGTATTTCGATATAAAAATTTCCATCCGAATTTTCAACGAGGAACATCGCGACAGCGTGTATAAAAGAGTTATATAACATACGTATATATAATAGTAAAACATGAACAAATGGAACGTTCAAAGATTGGAAATTAAATAATCGAATTAATTTTAGTGAAAAAGAAATTGATTGATTGAAATTTAATTTCTTGAGAGATAAAATTAAAGTCCGAAAATTATAATGATAATTTTTATATAAATTTTTTCATATTTTAATATTATTGAATTTTCTTAATATTTAATAATAATTTCAATTATATTAATTAATAATATATCTATAATTATGAAACACTGAAATATATTTTTAAATATCAATTTAAAAAATATTTGAAAAGTTATTAAAACAATAAATAATATCCTTCAAGAGATTAAATAAAAATATTATGAAATTAAAACTTAGAATAATAGTTTCTAACATTAAGTTAGAAATAGTAAATTACTATCGCCAAAAGATATTTGATTTTTCACATATGGAAATATTTATCTCTATAATTAAAAAAATGTACGTATACGCGTGTTGAAAAAAGTTTTAAAATTAATTAAAAGCAATTTTTGAAATACAAGTTAAGACACATAGAATAAAATATTTATGCTACAATTATTTATTATTAATTCTAAATTTATCTCGTTTCAACAAGTATTTCAAAACTTGCTTACAGCCGATTATTAACACTTGTAGATTAACTTTTTTCTGCTAAAAGAATTATATATTTGTTAATATTCTATATTAAAATAATTCAATATATTTATCATTTTCATACTTTTACGAATTTTCATACTTTTTTCTTTAATCTCTTCAATTTTCGTCGATAATATTTTTAACCAGTCCAACGCATTATCGATAATTCTAAAGGATTGATTATCGCTGTGATTTCATTCAATTCTATAAGCACTTAATGAACCACGAGTGCCAATAGAATTATTTAATAGAATAGAATTGAATATAAACTAATCAATTCTCGAACTACCAAGAAAGCTTTTATTTGCACCATATAATATCTTCTATATTTATTTTATTAATTATTGTTAAACATATGGAATTCAAATATATATTAAATTTTATTGTTTTTATAAAATTTCGCTTAATCGAGAGAAAATGGATGCTTTAATTTTGTATTCAATTTAATTAAATTAATTATCTTGATAATACGAGGGGTAATTGATAATTCATCTCTTCAATTCTCATAAAAATCGAAACTCTAAACTTTCTCTTATGGCAGCTCTCCGCCATAGTTTCACACTTTGACACATTTTTTTTTTGCTCATCTCGTGTCTCGATAAATGATTGTAATTAATAATCATCGCGATTAATTTGCTACGTTATCTTGCTAAGAAAAATTCACTTTTTTTTTTTTGGTTATTTTCCTTTGTTTTTTTGCTGCTTTTTCATTTTCTTATTTTGTCTCTTTATGTATATTTGCGTTAGGTATATACCTACGACATTTTCACATTTTGTTTTCTACATATGAGACTTTTATTTTTAATTATTTATTTAATTAGTTATTTTTTATTTTGTTTTTTGTTTCTTTTAAGGCCATACTTAAGGAAAGGAGCGTTTTATTAAACAATTTTAATAAAATTTCACGTATGTGTGTTTGTGTGTTTATCACCGTGAAAAAGGTTTCAATTTTAAGTTTATTCTTGTTATTAGAATTTTGTATAAATATCTCTTATGATGAGATTTACTTTGTCGCATAACTTAAGACGAGGCAATTTATTGACTATTTTCTCTTTTTTATTCATTTTTTTCAAAAGAAGTTGTAATTAAGTTATAATAAATTGCTACAATTGCAATTTTTTCATATAGAAACATATTAAAAAACTATTTCACTATTTTTATAACATTGTTTCAAAATTATTTCAATATAATATTGTTTTCTATGTTAATTAATAAGATTTTAAAATATTAAGATACAACATCAAAATGTGATAAACTTAAGAAATAAGTTTTAATATTTAGATTATTTAATAAATATTTCGTTAGTAAATAATATATTGATAATTAAAAAATTATTTTTTCATAATCTTCAATAAATAGATATTATGATATCCAAAATGCTTTACATAGAAATAAAATTTCGCCTTAAATATGCGATTTCAAATCTTGTTTTCAAAAAATTATGTGAACTGTTATCATTAAAAATGTGATTATGTTTGTTGCAGTGATTCTTACGGATTCTTATAGAACGGATAGATATAGATAGAAAATTTTCCTCACATAAAATTTATAAGTAGAGATTTGGTACAATATTACATACATTTTTATTATTGTTATTGTTGTGTCTTTTTTTGTAGTTAAAAATTTGCAAGAATCTCTGCAAAAATACAGTATGAGTGCAAGATGAAAAATATTAAAGGGGGATTGTTGTTTTCAAGAATACGGAAGTCTTGTTGGAGAAAATCAAGTAATTTATAGAAGTAAGAATAATAAATAATAGTTCTAATTTTAATATATAAAAATAAATATATTATTAGTAAATGTAAACTGTTAACAAATTAAATAATAGATTTATAAATCAGTTATATCTTTAATAATAATATTTGTGTAATATCATTTATGAAAAAATTATATTATGATTTCAAACCACTTTATTTTCTCTTCACAAGATTTCCTTCTCCTCTAAAGTCAACAAAAATAGTTAATCATTCCAAATTCATCTTGCATGGGTGTATATCCACGGCACGTGGCACATCTAAATCTAGACTTGCGTCTATAAACTCGAAAGCAGATTGCGCGATGATCTCAACGTTGCGCGTCAAGTATATCAAACTGTATTATACACGTATAATATATTTGTATATATTTATTTTTCTCTCTCAAAAGACTATTTTCCGTCTTCATCGAATAAATCAAACAAAAGAATCAAAATCATCGTGTGCACATGTCTATTCAATTACCATTTAAGCGTAACACAAATCAAGTCCTCAAGTTTTGCTTGCTTTTTTTTTTTTTTTTTTTTTTTCATAAAAATCACTCCTTTCTTCTCCCTTATTTAATATTTTCAATCTTAGTCTCCTTTTTTTTCCTTTTTCTTCTCTTTCGTTTTTTTTTTTTTTTTTACAATATACCGGAAGGTTCAGAGTTGCTGCTAGGATACTTCTAGTAGAATCTTAAGGCCACGATACCAAGTTAATGAGCGATCGTATAACGAGTCGTCGCTAAATGGGAAACACGCTACGGCGTCTAGGAGTTTAAAATGGCGCGCATTCTCCCTGTTCTCGATCTTTCTTAGCACGCAGAAAGCAACGCAGCAACGAAAATTGACGAAGAAATATCGTTGCTCGGTCCCTTTTCCATCCTTCTTCATTTCTACGATCGAAAACATTTCTTTTCTAATTGGACGAACCGCAATTTCTTCAGGAAGCATTTGAAAAATCAACTACTAAAAAAAAAAGTACTCTTGTTTATCGGTAAATATAATATTTCATCATCAGTCGTGCTACGGAGGAAACGAGGTGTATCAGTTTAAAAAAATATCTTTCTCTCTCTCTCTCTCTCTCTTTCTTTCTTTCTCTTTCTCTCTCTTTCGTTCGCACTTTCTTTCACTCTCTCCCTTTCTCTCTTTATTCTCTCATCTCATCAGTCTAGTCAAATGTTCAAAAAAGATTCACGCGGTCACCAGGTATCAAAAAAGAACTTAATCTCAACTGACCATTTTGTCGTAAAATTGTAACATCGTTATCGAAATCACATTTCGATTGTATATCATCATTAGATTACGGATATTTGTGCCATATTTTTTGGTAACTAAAGAAATGAATTCTAAACAGATATTTTTTTCAGTCTCTAAATATTATAACTTCATGATTTACTATACATTGTACATATTCTTTTTTGGTTCTTTCCTTTTTACAAGTTTCAATTTTTCATAAAGATACAAACATCCATTGTCTAATGATTGACATTAAAAATTCCCGAGATCATAGATTCGGAAAAATTCGGACAGAATCGGGCGAACTCTCGTAATATCTTCGTACCTGTTCAATCCTAACCGAATTTGTCCGATCTATTCCGAAAGAACACGAATATATCGAGATCTTATCCGATCCGAATATTTCCGATTTTTCCCGATATTCAAATTTTTGAATCATGGAACAATTTCGCACATTTCTACGTATCGTCAACGATCGAACCAATCGATAAAATATTATTATCCTTTTTTTTGACAATAATATCGGAACTATCTAATATATATAACAATCCCGAATCACTCGTTTCTGCGTGCAAATGAAAACATCGGTAATCAAAACGAGAGGTACTTTCCGTCATCGTGGTCCTATGAGAGAGAGAAGAAGAGCTCTCTGGTCATCAACAGCTCTTCGTTCCTCTTGAATTGTTTTTCTAAAAATATTCATCTTGAAGGGAGTGAGATCGATAATCGTCCAGAGGGAAGGAATTAATCCTTGAAATGTTGCTCATTCTTTCCTCTTGAGGGAGGAAAAGATACGAGACACTCGCCTTCATTCAAACTGGAGCGCTGGGACGTCGCAGAAGCGACGAAAGCAATGAACGTCGGGGTGGCCGTCGCCATGGTCGACGCAAACGACGTTCCTCGTCCGCGTAGGATGACGCCTGCCCCTCGACGATCCCCAAAGGTCAAGCTTTCTCTTCCTCCTCGTCGATCTCCTCCGACGATTCCGAGGAGGAGGTGATGAGAGCGGTCGAGAGGCTTGGAACTTGGGCTGAATATGGGAACGAGGTCATCCGGACTCGTTGAGCGTTCCAACATTCTGGCAGGGAATGAGAACCGTCATCCGTGCATTTGTCTGAATGCGACTTCTCCATCGAGCCTAGCTCCATCATGGACACGCGTCTTGTAGGTCCTTTCTTGTTATCTGTAATGATGAAATTGTTAAGGATTATTTTTTTTATATGTGAAAAAAATTGGTTAAATGTTTCTACTTTACGATAAAATATTTTTCTTTTAACATTTCAATAAGATTAATTGGTGTATTTGAATTAGCTTCCTTTTTATTTCAATAATTTTAATGATCTTGAAATATGATTAAAAAATTTTGAACAAACTTAAATTGCTTGTAAATTAATAAATAAGCTTCAATAATACTAACTTTTGCATTTATTTTGGCTTCTAGAATTGATCTTCCAAAGATGTCCCATGAATATATTAACTTCCTGTATATAAATATTTATTGATTGATTTTCTTCACTTAAATTATTCGGATATATTCTTTTCACTTTAGGGATTAATTTAATTTTTTGATAATCATATTTATAATTTTATCTTATGCCATTTAATCTTAAATATTAATCCAGATTTAATTTAACTTTCAACCTATTGAATGTAATTTTTTTTAAATAATAAAAGAAAATATTTTAGTTTATTTTTATAGATAAAAATATTCTGAAAAATACGCCGATATTTGCTATTTTATTTAAACAACCTTCGAATAGTGTAACTAGTAGAAAAATCATAAATTCTATTCGACGTTTATATCCTATAATAAAGTTGCATATTTAGTGGCAATGAAATCACGACTGATAATATACTAATATTTTATGATCTGCAACGAAATATGACCGTTTTATTCCTAATATTCTTTTTAATATTTCCACCTCATTCAATATCAAGTATATTTAATACTTCAATACTGAATTTATGATTCATCTTATATTTCTTCTATATTTTATTATATTTCATTTCTAGATCGTATTTTGTACAATTAAGAAAATAATGATATAGAGATAGAATATTTCTTTTCTATATGAAATTTTGTTTTCAAGAAAATTGATTTTAAATATTTACTTAGCATACAATTTACAGAACATTTCCTAAATAATTCTAATTCTTAAATAACAAATTTTAATTTTGTAATTTTCTTGAATAACTGAAGACCAGGCATAGAATAAGTTGTAAATTTCAAAGTCTTCTCTCTCTCTCTATTTCTTTATTGATCGATCAAATTTTAAAATTATTAATAAAATAAAATTATTTTATTAATAAAGGATATTTTTTCTGATGAATGAAGAAATGTTTTTTAAAGGATTAAAAACTTTAAGTTGTTTTAGTAAAGTTTTTAATTCTATTTAAATAAATATAAAAAATTTAAAATGATATAGCAATTTCATCTTACCTTTCTCGTATTCACTAAACGTTTTTGTAGGTGAATCTTCGGTCTGTTCTGTCCCCGTCAACGTGTATTCATCACGCTCGTCCACAGTTTCCTGGCAATCGATACCATCTGGAGTGCACACGCTCTCGCGACGGAATAGACCAATTACTGACTGGACCTTTGGCTGCTCGATTCCACCTTTAATTAGAAGGAAGTGTCATTAATGAGGTTAATGAAGATTCATGAAATGTTTCGGTTCGGCCACCTGGAATATCTCTTTCTTGAAATATTTCTGTTAAGAGAGATTTTACAGAAACGACTTTTGAATTAATATCTTCTTATTTTTTTTAGGAAATAAAATAGGAACTTAATTTAAAACTCATTATGTCATATCTGTTATATGAAACGCGGAAAATTGCGTTTAAAATTTAATTTGTATGAGAAATGTTTGAATATAGAATGGGGAATATTAGCTCATTTTTCATCGGACATACGCTAAGTGAATAAAAATCTATGGATCTTCAGATTGAATAAATTACGGTCGTTATTAAGCACTTTAGTGAGATGTTGTAAGAAACTTGGTAATCGAATATCAATGAATATTAATAAATATCAATAAATTATATAAGATAGAAATTATCTGAAAATCGTATATATAATTAAAATAATAATTAACAGATGATGAAAAGAAAAATTGACAGAGATGAGAAAGAAAGAAATATAATAAAAAACGAGAGAAAATATGGGTAGAAAGAGAAGAATATCTCTCTTATATATCTCTATTTTAAAGTAAATTTTTAAAAATTAGAAAATTCATTATTATTAATATACACTGTTATTTCAGGTGGCCAGAACAACCGAAATACATCATAAGAAAACGTGAAACAGAAGTGCTCGTGAAAGAATTTGACAACACAAAAAGTGTCAACTCAATAATCTGTTGTTGAGTTTAAGAATATACACGAAAGATTCGACAAGTAAGTTCAATGAATGCACGTTTCTCAGTGTGATGCACAATCAAATGTACGTAGCGATGAGGTGCGCGCATGTGTGTATATGTGTGTGTCCGTGTACACATGTATATGCGAGCTTCAAAGGGGACTGGGTAACCCAAAAGTCGAAGAAGAAAAAACGCATTCGCAGATTTGTAGATCGAGAAAAAGTAAAAGAACGACATATAGAAAACTCTGAACGACTTGAGTATATAAAATTTACATGTTCTTCGGCCGGAAGTCCGAGGTTTGTATCCTCCGAGCTCGTTAAGCTGGCCTGTCTTCAGAAATACGGCTCTCCTGTAAATCAGCGTTTTTCAATATTTTACGTACCTTTTTTTATCCATTAGCCGAATCGAATCACAAAAACAACCATCTTATTTTTATAAAACATTCGATAATATAAAATAATTGGGAAAATTGAATGATTGAAGACATTTTTACAAACAGATGCCATTTTTAGAGACACGGTAATACACGTCCATGTGTATTTCTACTTGTTTTAGATGTTGATTAAAAAATCAAATCGACCTTGCATCGAAAAATAGACCTGTTAGGGAATACCTGAAACAACGCGTCAATATTTAGAAAGTTTGGCGAGAATTAATAACTTATGGAAATAAAAAGTTTTCTCTGCAACGTGAGAGGGGTTACCCGAGCCCCCCCATCGAAAAATAATAACTGCATGTCAGAGTTTATTTTAGGTGTCGAGGAGAGTCAGATTGAATATAAATATTTAATAGGATAATAAGTTTAATTAAGATGATTCAGAAATAATTTTTTATTAAATTTATTTCACCAACAATCTTCCTAACAACAAATTTATTTATACAATGAAAAATTATATTAAAACTTAATAAAGTGGCAGCCAATGAAATTAGTGTATCTATTATCGCGAATTTATATCAATACACTAATCCATAGTAAAATGATACATGTATATTTCTATATATTGGTCAAATTAATTATTCAATCATACCTAAAAATGTCGCCGAGGGAGAACTATAAGCCAGATACTCTTTGTTAGAACACCAAGCAGGAAATTCATTTTGTTTGATCGGATGGCCGGAATCGTAGTCGTCCTCCCTTTTCCATGGCAACATAGTTTCTGTGGCTGTTGGTGTTGTTACCCTGTAACTTTCTAAAATTTAAGAAACAAGATAAAAATCTTGAAAACAAACTCTATAAAATTCAACGAATCAAAAAGTGGAATTTAAGAAAATTTTTTTATTACCAAAATAGTAAATGAAAAATATAAAAAACTCATTTGTTTATTAATAATTTATAGTCTTAATAATTAACACAAAAGAGTTTTATATTATAAAAAAAATTGAAATGACGTTTCCAATCACTTTTATATTTAATTTTCAATTATTTCTTTTATTCCTTTCTTATAATATTAAAGAATCGAAGAATATTTATATCCATTGAAAGAAATTTTGAAGTCGATTAAATTTAATATAAAAAATCGATATCATCGACAAGACTCGTCGCGATAAACTCACCGTCTCGCCCTAATTTCATATCCGGATCGTCGGTATTTATGGTGTCCATTGAGGTAGTGGTGGTGACGCCGTGGTGGCCATCCGTATTCACGTTCAACGAATCTATGGAAATTGAGCGTCGAGAAAATTATAACTGTGAATCGAGCCAAAAATTAGCTCTACCCCTTTCATCCCGTTTTACATTCAAAGAAACGCTTCAACAGGAAACTCTGAATTATCCTTTCCTGAAGCTAATTTCTCAAAAGAATCCACACGACTGGAGATAATTTGTCCAGAACTTCCTTAACTTTTTTAACAACCGAAAGCTTCGTTGAAATTAAAAAGAGAGAGAAAGAGAGAAAATTAAGAAGGGAGGGGAGGAAAAAAAAAGAAGAAGAAAATCATCTTCTCACCGGAAGTGCGAGCCGTGAAGGTAATCGCAGAGTCCCAGTCCTCCTTGCTCGAAGGCTTTGAAGTATCTCCGTTTTCCAGCTCGTACAGGACACCGTTGATGTAATCTACGAGTAATAAAAGTTCACGTATTCAAACGAAAAGAACCTTTTGATCGGTGAGGAGGGCTCATCGATATCCCTTTTGCCAATTTACCTTGAGTGAACAACTTGGTTGATCCGTTTTGCTGGAACTCAGGGAAACTCACGTGATTCTGCTTACCATCCTGTACAGGTTGGTGGAGGGAAGGTAAAGTTATTTTAATTGCAAATCAGTAGTAATCGTCGATTCAACGAGGAATGCGACACATGTGTTCATTTTTTTTTTTTTTTACGCGAGGAACATTCTTACTTTGAGCAATTTTTTACTGCGCTTGTGACGATGCTTGTGCTCTCCCATCATCCGTCTTATGTTCATGTGCATTTTGTAATTGACTTGGGTTGACAGGTCGCGATCGTTCACCGCGTGTCGGCTGTAGCTTAAACGCCGATGCTGCAACAGTTTTGTTCCATGCTGTAGAGAAACGTTATAAATCTGATTTGCCTTCGTTCTTTCGTATATGCAGGGGTTTTTGTTACAGATGTACAACAAATTTACGAGCTACATACATATTGAAACATTGAAGAAGCATAGTGTAATTTTATAATCCAAGGCGCTTCGAAAGTCCCTTAACGATCGTTCATCTTTCAAATGCCCTGTATGAGCAACTCAAATTTGATGAGAAATTAAATCTTTTTTTTTTTTTTGATATAATGAAAATGAAATCAAATGGTTAAAAAATCTTGTCAATTCTTTTACAAGAATTGAAAAGTATGTGCATTTATAATAAAACTCGATTTCATCGAATCTGTCGAAGGACAGAGAATGAAGGAAATTCAGTTATTCTTCTCATTAGTTACAATTTTTCGTTCAAATAATAGAAATTTCACGTTTCGATGAATGGATTCAATCGATAGAAGTTTACTTAATCGAGTACTAATCAAAATTTCGTTTGATAAAAATTCAATATAATTTGTTTTTTTTTTTTTTAATGTATTCCACATTTCAAGAGAGATTTAATTCAAGCCGTTTCTCTTATATGAACCGTTCAAAACAACGATGCTATAAGAATTATGCTTTTAAATTTACTTATAATATTCAAAATTATTTATTTATAACAAATAAATTTATGAAAATAAATTATATTTTCTGAAAAATATTATAACTAATTAAGTCCTCACAAATTTTGGCTTCTAACAAGAATACATTTAAAAATAATTATTCGAAATAAAAATCTGGAGATTATAAATTTATTTTTACGATCTCCAAATATAGATTACAAAGATTAATCAAAATAGTCGAATCGATCATTTATGAGAGGCTCATATAATGATAATTAAAGTGTAAAATTGATGGATGAAATTTAAAGCGGCGACAGAATGTCGTTCGAAAGAGAATCGCGATCAGCAAAAGTTTTCAGGGCCGTGCATACACAATACAATACACGTAAAATTCTCGTGCTCAGCAAAGTGGGGTTTCTTACCCTCTTGTACGGCTTGCAAAGTTCTTCGGCCAATAGATGGTGGATCCTGGCGTCCGTCAAGTCCTTCTTGGAAGGGTTGTACTCCAATTCTTGGAGATCAATATTCCAGCCCGCTTCGAGCTGGCTGCAACTTGGACTGGAAGGAGAAAGAATGAGACTGCATTTTTATGACGGGCTGCCACTTGAAGATCGATACTCGGTGCTTTCGAGGAGGGTTCGCTGTTCAATCGAGATACAATGCAGACTTATCTTCGGTTATGCTCCTTGGCCAGTGTGTATATAGGGTGAGTCATAGAGCATCGACACTCCCAAAGCAACTTGTAAACCGGGTGAATGTACTATTGGATAGGAGACTGTTGGGTCATATCCTTTCTATCTTCTTTATTTAAGAGATTTTATAAGATTTGTGGCTTAACTTTCTTCGGAAGATTATTTTGGAAAATTTATTTTAATCGTGTCTTAATTATAATTTGTAATTGATATCATATCTTTTCGTTTTCGATTATTTTTAAGATTTATAGATTGTCTTTTTTTTATAAAATAGGAATTTATTTTAATTGTGTCTTAATTCAAATTTATAATAAATTTAGAAAATGATAGAAATAAAAGTTTTTAGAACAATGAAAATTCCTTATATTTTCTTCTTGTTTGAATAAAGTTGTTTATAGAAGAAGAAATTTATTTTAATCGTTATTTGTAATGATTAAATGTAAAATTTGAATATTAATAGTGAAATAATTTAAATAAAATAAATGATAAGTAAAGTAAAAATATAATAAGGATAAAATTTTTCTGAATTTTTATAAACACAATAAATTACTGCATCATATATCGCGATTTTTTTTATCATATCATAAAAAAATTTTTCTCTTAAAAAGACCATTAAATATCTCAATGACTCACCCGGTATATTTAACATCATCGCCAATCTCCCTTCCGTTCAATCTTCCGTGACACTAAATTAAAGGAAACAAAGCACTGAACTGCGAATATCGAGCTCAAAGGACACTTTGACTACTGCTTTCGTCCCATCTACGATTTCAGACGGAAAACTTTTTGTTAGCCAATTTCCGCTGATAATTAATATATATTTTCACCGTAGTGTCCGAAGAGTGTTTTGTTCTACACCTGTTACGATTAAAGAAGCATTCTTCCAGTTTCTTATTGTAAAAATAAACAGGTCAAGTACGAAGAAGATGATTCAATGAGGTGGGGTTGAAGCGAAGAGAAGATGATGCGAAAAGGGAAGAAGAAAAAGAAGGAATAGAAAATTCTACCTTCCATTGAATTGTCCCGTGTTGCTATAGTTGCGAAATATAGCGGACATGCTTTCAGTTCCACTGATATTGCCGATGGTGGACGCGTTCCTTCTGATGTAATCCAGAGCGTCTTTCATAGCGAGTTTCGAATACGTTTCCAATATTTTCGGCTCGGCACCGTAGTGATTCCTCACCAGATACGGACGAATAAATTTATTATCGAACCGTTTGAATCTGTAAAACGGGACAAGAAAAGAAACGAAGAAAAATGTTATGGTATAAAAATAGTTTTATTCTTTGCGTTAAGATTTTGGAGAGAAAGTGATTAAGATAATAATTGATGAATACCAAATTGTATGAATAAGAAAAAAGCTTCCATTTAAGCTCTTTTAATTTTTGTTGTCACTATTAGAATGTAGAATTGATATTATTATCGCGTAACAAGATCAATCTCTTTCCTTCTTGACAAATATGGAAGCTTTCTTTTTTTCTTTTGAAACTTTTCTCGATTCTTAGTATACTATAACATTTATCTATTCATTTGATTTTTTAATAATTCAAAATAAATTCGCCTTATATTTCTTTATATATTATATTATATATAATATAATATATTATATTTATTATTTTTAAAAGATACATATTGAAATATGCATCTTTTATCTATTAACTTATCGATTTTTGTACGAAAGATATTAAAAATTTATAGATATTAAAATAAATAAACAATATTCTTTTTTTTAAATTTTGAAGATATATTAAATTAAAGCAAATAATAAATCGAATTATAGATTTAAAAGATCGTTTAAAAGAACAAAATTTTAGGAATACTTTATTAAATAAAAATTTTTATCTTTAAAATATATAGATCGTAAAAATCCAAATACTTTCTTAGACGCGAAACGGTAATAAATAATTTACGATCAAATAAACCAGCGATCAGAATCATCTGCATCCCACCTAACATCTCGAACGACTCGTGAGTCATCCTATTAGGGGAAAGGCGAAAAATCGATAAACCTCCCTAGTGTTTTTCATCAAATAAGACGAATCATTCCATCAAGAAGTCGAAAACGTTAGAGAAAATCCATTTCGAAATATTATCGATCATAAAACACGTGAAATAATACATACTTATCCCGAACGTGATAATTGCCATGCTTGCCCAAAATGTCCTCGATCCCAGCCATCACGTGGTCTATTATCTGCAAACGTAGACGCCATTTTCCTTTACTCAGCCGATTTCATCAAGCACATTATTTCCGTTATCCTTTTACCAACGTATACACACGTGTACATCATGCGCAAATGACTCGAAACGTACGAATTCACACGATGCAACACGGTTTTTATCTACTCTAGACTCATTATTCTTCCTCCTATGATACGTTCATTTAATGGTTACCGGTGAAAATCAGTGCAATCTTCTCTCGTACTAAGCGACGAACGATTATTGATTTTCTCGCGTATCGTAGTTCGCTGCTCTCTCCTTTTTTTTTTTTTTTTTTTTTTTTAATATTTGCGCGAACGATAAGGGCGTATAACCACGCGTTCCCTACAATTTATACATCCAGCTTCGCCATTCTTCGTGCACCGACTTTTTTCTTCCACGACTTAAACCATCCCCTATTCGGTACATTTTTATTTTACGGATCGATCGAAACGAGCGAAGCGACGTTGAAGTTATGCCTCGTTACGAACGATCGCGAACATCATCGTAGGCAAACAGTAGAACGAAGACAATGAGGCACGTACCCTTTCGTGAATCCTCTCGTTCATGGTCGGCTTCTTCTTTTCGGCTCGTTTCACATTCAGGATCTTTACGAGGGGCTTGATCGTGATTCCCTGGAAACGGATGTTTTTTATAGCAGCGGATGTTTCAACTTGGAGAGTAACAGTTCAACTTGTAAGTGGTAATTGCGATTGATAAGAAGTAATACTGAATTATATGTGAGGAAATTGTAGGAGGATGTATGTAGAAGGGGATGGTAGTTTTGATATATATTGATTTTAATTGTTTTCGTGGCGTTGGATTGAAATAATTTTTTAAGCATATTATAATGTATAGTTGCAATTAAGGAAGGAGATTGATACAAGAAAATTATTATTATATATGTATGAGAAAGGATTATTTTCATTGTATTTTTTTTTGGATCAATATAATTTTTTAGAGATTTTGTTATATATCTTGCGATTAAAAAAAAGAATGATACTAATTTTAAATTATTGTAAATTATTATTTATAAGGAATGATTATTTTAATATTATGTTTAGTTATTTTTGTTAATATTTTTTATTAGATAAAATTAAAAAGATTTTGTTTTGTTATTTATATTATATTATATTATTTATATTTAATTGTAATAGAAATTTACTAAACTAATTCATTAATTCAATTGAAATTAATTTTCTTTACAATTTTTTAAATTCTTTATAATTTCTTTTAAGTTTTTATTATAAATAATCTTCCTTTGTTTTAAATAATAATAAATACGAGCATTAACAGCTATAATATGGAATACTATATAAATACAAATCACGGTACGAATACAGACAGAAAATAGCAACATTCGATTATCATTAAAATTCAAAATATCGATTTAACGCAATCGTATTCCGGACACAGAGCAGAACGGACATATTTCTTTTGGCTTGTCATTAGAATATATTATTTCGTTAAATAGTTATAAATTATTATTATTATTATTAATAATTAATTTTTTACTATTATTAATTATTATTAATTAGCTTCATATAAATAGTTATAAATTAATTTTGTGATTGTAAAAAATTGTAAATATATAAATAAAATATATATCATATATATTTTAATTATGTGTCTAAAAAAAATTGAAAAGGATCCTCACTCGTAATATGATACTAATGATAGATTAAAAGGTATTCAAATTTGCACACGTTTCTAGTTTTAGGCCAATGATATTTAACCTTTAATTGTCAGGGTGGAGTTCAAATGGCCCTCACTATTTTTTCAATGATACATTATAGCTTCATGAAACTTTGTGTATTCAACACTTTCGATACATTATTGGATCCCTTTATTGTAATCCCTCGAAGAAGTAGAAAGAGGATGAATAAAATTGTCATCTATCGATAAATTTATATGAATCTATCCACATAATATAATAAAGCAAAAATAAATTGATTTTGCAAGAATAATACAGAATAAATGAATTGTTCAGTTTATGAATTTATTTTAATCATATTTAAATCGTAATATTTGCATATTATCGATATTTTTGTATTTAGTTTTATTATTTTTTCCTTTTTTGCAACCGATGATTGATAATATTTTCTATTAATTATAAAAACAAAAAAAAATATTGCATCCGACTAATACATAATGCGTTTATATTTACAATTTTTTACAATCACAATAATAAATTAATTTATAACTATTTATACTAAACTAATTAATAATAATTAATAATAATAATAATAAATAAATAAATAAATAATAATAATTTACAACTATTTAACGAAACGATATAATATTCTATGATGAGCAGAATAACACGTCCATTCTATTCCGTGTCCGGAACACGATTCCATTAATAATAATCGATATCATCATTTTCTGTATTTCCGCGATTTTTATTCGTATTCCATACTAATAAATATCGTATTTATTATTATTTAAAAGAAAGGAAGATTGTTTGTAATAAAAATTATAAAGAAAATTGATTTCAATTTAATTAATAAATTACATTCTCAAATTAAATTTTTAATCTTAATTATTTAGATTAATTAAGAATCAAGAGTTTTTAATTTTTTTTTAGTTAATTTTTATTTAACAATACCATATTTTACAATGCCATTGATGTTTTTTTAAACTCTAAGGCTTAGAGCGTTTAAGTATTTCAAGTTATCAAATTATTACGATCGATCAGATATCACGAAGCTTGGTGTCGATATCGAATTTCCAATCGATTGGTCGATAGTGTTTTTTAATGGAAGTTCAGAGCCGCCAGTTCCTTAGCAAACAGGACGCGCCTTTAGGATGAAAGTAGAACCTTTTTTTCATTCTCTCCTTCTTTTTTCTTTTTGTTTTAACCCTTTGCAGTCTAATTACATTCGTACTCTATTCGCTCCGTACATATTTTTTTTTTTAAATACGATTTAATTCCTCGACAAAGGTGGCAGAACGAAATTAAAACGAGAAACCATTTGTGCAAGAGACATTATCAATAAATTGCAATAAATTTCCATCCCTTAACATTTATACTCTTTGTATTAATAATCATTCGTAACAAATTATTTCTTAATGCAATTCACCTGCCCGATATCTTTTAATAACGAATACCAATTATCGAATCGAAAATTGAATATGGAATATGAAATTAATCTCCTTCAAGTTCTTTATTAACTCTGAATATCTTCCTTTCTAATAATCCTTTCTCTACCTTTCACCTTTCAAACTTTTTTATCCCTTCCGCGATCGGAAACGATCGGAATAAAGTACTTGCACATATACCAATTCGATGGGAATCGGTCTATATATCTCGATGCACGCTATTCAAATAAAACTACGATTTCATGCATCTATGGCGCGCACAATATCCGCGCTAGTAGTACACATTTAAAATAGAGCCGGGAGAATCGATAGTGTCGGCATAAAGAAAGGTCATCGCTGATTGCGTATTTATAACGCAGTTAACAAAAAATCACGGCACGCCTTTTGCAGAGGATTGAAGCGAGTAATCGCGCCGGAAGAGGGACGTCGCCATTCGAACGCTTTATTATTTTCACGTCAATCGCAATGGAGCTGCGCTGCTGCACTCTCTAAGCCAGGTGCTTATACGTATAAACACTTAAAGAGACTATCTCGATTATTTTCTTTATTGGTGAATCGATTAAAAAATTGTTTTGTTATATTATTTTGAAAGGTCTCTCTTTTTTTAAGATTCTCTTTCATGTTAATCCCTTTCTATAATATGTTCGGTGTTATTAAGTTGGTGGAAAGTAAGAAAGTAAGAAAGTAAATCAATTTAATGCAGTCATAATTTATAATTTTATCAATTAATTTTGAATAAAAACGTTCTATCAAATCGAGATTTATTTTGTAATTTGTAAACATATCCATAATATTTTTAAGGTAGGGATATATTTAGGATAGGATATATTTTAAAAAATATTATCATTCAATTGCTTGATCTACAATAATTTCTAAGTTCAAACGAAAATACTATATTTTATGAATAAATACTATTCTTGTAAAATAAATTTATCATACAGGATAATACATCATCCATTTGTTTGTTATCGGAATCAAAAATCGACATAACTTTTTCATCAATTCACTAGGAAGACAAAGTGTTTGCTTTTGAATTCGCTGATGTATAAAAGAATTGAAGGTATCGCAATAAAATATTCGAATATCGAATCGAAATCGTGTCATCTGCGACAATAAAAAAAATTTGATCGAAACACCAAGCGGGAATATATCCATCCCTTATCCAATTATACGTCAAGCGTATAATGAAGCGAGAATAAAAGAGGAGAGAATCTGTCCACGCGTTATTCCATATTACGAGAGAAAATTATATTATAGGATAGTATGTTTGCAATGTTTGAAGATCGTCATAAAATCGTACGAGTCGAGGGAGATTTCGATCGTAGTTGTCTACGATGACAAAATGACCGAGACAAGTAGTAAATGTTCGCGTATTTTCCGGCTAACGTGTACAATAGTAGTATGAACTGTGATAACAGGTTCCGGTATATTCCTGTGCATCGTTGGTAGCCTTTTATGAAACATTATTAGCTAGTTTCCACGAGCAGTGATCAAATCCAATATCGATTTGTGTAACATCCGATATATTGTTTTATGCGCATGCTATTTTTTTTTCTTTTTTTTTTTTTTTTTTTATAGATAGCCGTTTAGTTTAACGGGAGTTGTGATCTCTCTTGGGCATCATTATTTTTCATCTGAACAGAATTTTTTGGTTTATGAACTGTTTTCAGCTATCGAAGATTTTAATTTTATTTTTCAATTTTACCAAATAAAATAAAAGATGCTGAAATTTTTTAAAATTTCCAAGTTTTATTGTAAATTGTAATTTAATAATGCTTTTTTGCAATGAATCTTTTATACGTATTATTAATATTTAACAGTATAGGTGATAGGAAATATGAATATCGTAATACGTAATCTACATTCATAAAATAATTATATTGTATTTCGTTAAATTTAAATTGTATTTTAATTCTACGAACAATTAAAAATTACTTGCAAAAAAGAATCATTGAATCGTTTATCTCCAATTTAAAAATCCCACTTCGTTCAAGCTTTATTTAATTGGGCGAATGGATCAAAAATTGATAGGAGAAACATTAAAGGACACCATCTTGAACTTTGGAAAATCCTTTTAATTTAACTTTCGAACCTTTTAAACCATCCTTAATAATAATTAATGTTAGAGTTTTGAAAAATTCATTTATTCGCGACAAACTTTCGAATCACGTGAACTCCACTTATCGGCCGCCATATTAGAATCGAGAAAATTGAGAAAATTCGTAAGAATAGCTTCGCCAAACCGGCAGAGCCAATGAATGGTTCTTCGAGTCTGAATCAACATTTCTCAAAGTTTACTTGCCGCGAACAACGAGCTCCCTCTCGGAGAGAGAAATGTTGATTTAGAGAAAAAGGGGATGTTCCGCGTTATCGTGTCATTCCCTCGCTGAACCGAGAGGGAGGATCTCGTTTATTATTATTTTTTCACGTATCTTCGTGTACTGGAAGAAGAGATTCGAGAAGAGTATCATGCATCATTACGATGAAGTTTAATTTAAACTTTTCACTATTGCGGATGCAGGAAGGAAGTTTATATCACCGTTCAACCTTATTGGTTTAAACAACCAGTGTTGTGCACGAAACAATTCTACGTATGTATTGGGAATAATGCAAATGAAAAAACGTAAAGAGCAACCATGAAGTTATAATGGCGTACGTAAAAGGAAACGTAACGATCTCTGTATCCTCGATGGGGAATTACACGCAACAATGCTCGAAAACGCAAAAGAAAACGCAATGCACAAATCTTTTCTATTTGCTTAAATGTCTTCTTTTAAGGCAAATACCCTTGAAAAGTTTTCCACGTTATCCTACCACTTCGAATACAAGGAAATGTTGACTCGAACTTTGTGGCTCGGCTTCCATCCTTGTCATTTAACATCGCAACTGTAATAACACTTATTCAACTGATATCTGGAGACATTTCCAGATAAATGGTATATAATAATAAATATTAAAACTAGTTATATTTAATATATATATATAAATATATGCTTTGTAAAATCGATGGATGTTAAGTTCGAAGAATCATTGAATCGAAGTATATTTAAAAATATTAAAAATATTAGTACAAGATATAGTGGCATTAGGAAACTTATCAAAATGATGACTTTTTTATTTAACTATTCGTAATTTATAAAATATCGAAGATTATTAGTTTAACATTTCTAAATATATTAGAAATCTTTTGGAAAATATATGAAGAAAAAAGTAAAAAGAAATTGATCGAAAATCAAATTATATTCTATTAAAAGTAATATTGATATTCTTCAACTGATTCAACAATAGTTTTCATAATTAAAAGTTAACTGATAGGAAATAGAAAACGTAATATTTAATTTTCTTCAATCTCTTTTGTTATCATGCTTCGAAATTAGTTAATTAAACAATTTACAAATATTATTGAATCCTTACCTGTATGAATACTGTGAAATAAATGACTGCGATCGTGGTAGTGACGAACATCGGTTGTAAAGACACGTGTTTCGGATCGATTAGTAAGACCAGAGCAAATGCTACGGCACCTCGCAAACCACCGTAAGACATCACGAATTTCTCTACCTTGTTCAGCTTGTGCAGTCGGAATTGATTAGCCAACGCTGTCAAGAAGATCACGCCTGAAAATCCATTTCAATCCAAGTCAGCGCATTCAACCCTCTACAAACAGCATGAAATTACATGAAATCTAGCCATTATTTCCGCGGTCAAATGCCAAAATTTGATATACATGTATCTATCTTATTTTTTTTTTTTTTTAATTGAGATATACATTTCCATGTATATCTATAATATATGTTAGTTTGTCAAAGATAGCACGTAGTTTAAAAAAAAAAAAAAAGGAAAAAGGACAAATTCTATATTTGAGAAACATTGTGATTTTTCATAGCTGAACAAACTTTAAAGTTACTGTACTGTAAAGTTAGCAAAACATGACATATCAGGCTTTGTCATCTGACCACAGATTTATTTCTAGGTTCTACCTCTGTTTGCAATAAATATTATTAGGTTTCCTCTTTTACGTGTAAAATTGGAAAACTGTGATTGATTGTAAATTGTTCTTCTGTAAAAAGAAACATTTCTGTTTATAATAATTGATAATTTTAATTTCTAATTGATAGTGAAAAAATTGTTGTAAACTTTCTTGTAAAGAAAAAGATATTTTGATAATTAATATTTTCAATTTTATGAAATAGAAAAGATTTTTTTTTATAGAAATTGATTCATTTGTAAGAAATCCACTCCCAATAACTTTTTCATTACATTTTTTTTTATGTTACAACGACAAATGATAAAAAATCTATCGTTTATCTTTTATCATAAAGAAAAATAATTTTCTTTTGTAAAAAGAGGAAATTTTTTTATTCACGAAAAATGTCAGCTTTTATTCTTTACGTGACAGTGAAAAATTGAAGTTAATCGTTGTTTTAATCTGACAACGAAAGGCTATAGTTAATCGCGACTCCTATTTCGCAAAAAAAAGAAAAAAAAATAAGAAAAAAAATGAAATATCTGGATTTGAAAAAAGTAGGATATTTTCAGACTGCATAGGGATGACGATGAATTTTTTAAGTGCAGCTAGTGGCCAGCGATTTAGCGATAAACCGTCGATGGAACAGGAAGCCATAAGCCCGTGACAGTAAGCCCTGATGTAAACTGGTGGTTGCGGAAGAAGCTAGACGAATCTTGTTAAGAGTATTTCCAGATATTTCACGATTTAACCGAGAAGATAGATTAGAAAAGTTCGAGTTTTCTCAAGACTATTCTTTTCGTTTATTTTAATGACGAATGTCAATCTCGATATTGACTACTTAAATAATTAAATTATTTAGAATAGAAATAGAAAAGTACAATTGAAATGTCCATCAAAAGATCTATATTAATGTAAAAATTTAATATTTCAAAAAGTTTTTCTTCTTCTTTGTTTTTTCATTGTTTCATTCACTTTATTTTTTAATTCTTTTGTTGCAAAGTAACATAAAATTTTACCTTTGTAATATTAAGTTTGATTTTATATGTTTAATCTCTCGTTATAAATATAAAAATAAAAATTCTTTTCAAAAAGTAAGTTGGATACAATGTTATAAATTTTTATGCTATCTTTTTTATAATTAATTATTGTATTTTGTAAAGCAATTCTTTACAATAATAAACTTATTGTAATTATGATATTATATTATGTATAATATGTATAAATTTACTTAAATTTTAAAGATAGTTATTGAAAAAAATAGTGTAAGTTCTATTTATAATGGAATTGTGAAGATCTATTCTATATATACAAATTCACAAAAAAATTACGATAAATTCAACAATTTTTAAAAAATTTTCGTCTTGAAAATCATTATTCCATCAATATTTCAAGATCATATTATATAGTAGACCATCTAAATGGAAATTAGCCATCCTGTATAAATTTATTAATAGAATATTGATGACAAATTTATACATCATGGGCGAATACTCATTGACCAAATTATCACCAATACTCTTCACAAAAACCACCTCAGAAATTACCATCGTCTCTCAAAATAAATCTCTCAACTTCAACTTCACAGAATTAAGAAGCTAATATCGCCAAAACGGTAAAGCAATCATCCTCGCAAAACACAACTCTATCCCAACCGAACTACTTAATCTTCACCCCTTCTGCTTATCCAAATTATCCGAAACGATACGAAACAATGCCCAGGGGTGGCACGTGCCAAGTTTCCCGGCATCATCCCGCCTCGTTATCCGGCAAAAAGGCAAATACCAAAGCGCAAGAAACGCCTATTCTTGGCACGATCGCGTAACCGTTTTGCTAAGTAAGTGACACGCGATAAGCCATGAATCGGTTTAAACCTTAAGACTCCCCCCTTATCTCTTGATACCATTAACAAGACCTACCCCACTTAATCCAGTTTCGTATCGTCCAGTTTGACGCATCGATTGCATCCACGTGAAACCACTTTACTGTCACGAGTTCTTTGTATGACAAACTGCGGGACAATTGATGATTTCACACCCCCAACCTTGATGGGGTGGCTCGTATACTCACCGACGATGCGATAGATCGAGCAGAAGACGATGGTCATGACGACGAACCACGTGTTCCAATCGTGGTGGTTGTTCACGGTCGCCACCCCGAGGAACATAAATATGATGGTTTCCGAGCTGCTTGACAGCATTTTCATCGTGTATTTGACCGTGGTGTGCGACTTGTGCGATATATTCGCCTCCACGTAATTCTTCATGGTGATGCCGCAGAAGGTGATCCTGGTGACAAAGGAGAGGTCACGGTTAATCGATGGGGGGAGAAGTGGACGACACGAAGGGGACGAATATGGCGCGAGGGTGGATTCGAGTTCGCGTATCGATCGTAGTCGGTACGTTTCGTAAACGTCGTTGAAATTAATTCGAACGTACGATCCGAGGGTTTACGAAATCGGCGGCTAGAGGCGTCTATTCGATTTACGATATGGATGCGACCGTTGTACACATACGTACTGGAAATTTGTGCGTACGTCTGACTGGAGACTACTATTTGGATCCAAGTTTAGATCCATCCATGATTCACTTGTTAATGTGTGGCGAGAGGAAATTTGATAGGGATTTAACCTCTTGGAAATTGGCGTACATGTGTCTAGTCAGTTGTGAATGTCTTACATTATCTTGCAAGGAAATTTAATTCTGACTTAATGAAATTGTGTGTTTAATGTTGAGTATATAATGAATTATATTTAGAATAATTTTTGTTATTCAAAGATGGAACTAATTCTTCTTCGTTCTCGTAGATGTTAACATGAATTAATAAAAATATGGACATTAAATAAATATAATCTGCGAACTTTTAAATGAATAAAACTAGGATAAAATTATTATTAGAGAAAGATAAAATAAAGAATGGAATAAAAGAATTTAACATTAATTTTTTGTTTTTTAAATTTTACATCAAGCTGAACTCTCTACTTTCGTTAATATATAAAATACAATCTTTTAAAATAAAGCTCATTAATTTATTTCATAGGAACATGTATAATATACACGTAAATCTTAATGAAGATATGAAGATGTAGTCAAATTTTGAACAGTTTCTAAAATAACTAAGTAAGTAAGAACTCCAAGTAGAGTAGGGATAAAATATGAAACGTGACTTGGGTTAAATATCTCCATCATAAAAAAAATATCTTACATTTATATCTTTTAATATTTATTCCAATTTTCGATCCTTCTAGAAATAATAACAAATAATTGAATTCTTTTCGATTTTGTATCATATATTTCTGAATTAATATTCTCAAAAATTTCTGATGAAATTAATTCCAAAATTTCCAGCCACTTCTAAAAATATTGGTACAAGATTATTTGAAAACAGTTCATTCAGTTTGAATTCGCGAAATTATTCGAGCATATTATTAAATTTAATATAAGATTATATATTATATTTCATTTTTTGGGATGTTAGTCTCATTTCTTCATCAAATCGAATTTTCTTCAGTTTTAGAATTTGCCTATTCTTCATTTTCCAAATTTTCCTTAATCTCGTTATAAAATGGTAACTCAATTCTTCGTATTATAGAAGTGTCGCGTTTTACTGTGTTCTACTTTACTTTTAAGAGCAACTGTAAATACATGTATAAAGCAAATTAAAAGTACAATATCTTCCATTTAACGATCTATTTCTCTTCGTTGTCCAAATATTGCACATATCAAGCTCTTTAAACAAATAAATCATCGTTCCACTATAACTACATCACACTCATCCTTCGTTTATTTAAAATCCTTTTGTTCGTCAATCGAACACATGACACCGTTTAATCATATAAAAAGAAAAAAAAAATCACGATAGCCGAGCAAGAAGCAGCGATTACGGGTTAAGCATATTTGAACAGTTATTACACAGGGCGTACTTTGCATCGGGATCGATCATCGCTACCAACTTCCCCAGGAAACGTGTAAATAATAGACTTAACGAGAATCGTGCTGCTATCGTAAGGTTTTCGAGCATTTATAACGACGATCTGTTACTTTCCATCCTTCTCCTTCTTTTTTTTTTCTCCTTTTTAATAAAGACTTAGCCTTGGGCGAGTTATCGAGTAAATCGACGATCACGAAAAGAGTCAGGCTTCCCTTTAACCTTTTTCTTCCTTCCACGACACGGTTCGATTTGATAATGAAAAAAAAAAAAAAAATAGAAGAGAAAGAAAAAAGGAAAAAAATATGAGAAAAAAATTTCGAAGTTTCGTTTAAAGAACAGTTCCAAGGGATTGATTAAAAGCCTATCGATGAATTTCGCCCTTGGATGGCGAGGTAACATGGCGAGGTTTCATCGAATATGCTATATATATGTATGTAACGATTCGCGTGAGAGCTGGGAGGTCCTTTTTGGAATTTATTGCCGGCCGAGAGCGTGTCGAGAGAAGTGAGTTGGCACACTCGTGTTGCACATTTCTAGGTCGCGATGGCCACGTGCAGGGCATTTTCGGTTTATCGATGTAAACAAGGGAAATTTGCATATGTTACAGGGTTGTTTCGTTGATGAACTGGTTTTCTCGAGTTTTGTGTTTTATTACCTGTACGAGATTGACCGTACAATTAACTTTGACTGGTATATAAGTTTACCAACTAGTATTTCGAGATATATTATTATTTTTATATTTTTATATTTTATATTTTATTTCTATTATTTAAATTACGAAGAATATTGTTATAATTGATGATAGAATCGAACAGATTTTTTATATAAATGGGGAGTATATATATATATGTCGTCAAAATTCACGAAAATATAAATTAAAAATTAAGCGAAATAATAATGAAATGGTCTGAATATATTATATTCAGATATATATTCAGAAATATATAATTTTAAAACATGAAATGTTTTATTAAAAATATTTCGTGTTTAAAAATCTCAAGAAATATTCTTTTTTTACACGAGGAAGTTTCGAAAATTTTAATATAGAAATAACTACTTATTAGATTCTCTCTTAATTGTATTTAATAGTTATTACGAAAGTTATACTTGTTTGTTCGTGTAGTTTTCTCTAAATAATCTGCAAGTGTCACCAAAGTTTCCAAACAATACTAATTACAAGCTTTCGTTATAAAAAATATTCAAGTATGAAGTTGGAAATTTGTAAACTGAATGAGAAATTCTTTGAAAGAATTTATGATCATTATTCTCAAAAATTAAAATATGGAAATGGAAATAATTCAATTTGAAAATCTTAAATTATTAAAAAAATTAACTAAAATAAAATTTATAAATATTTATTACTTATTCCTTTAAACAAGTGTTTCTCAATTTGTTTTGATTTCCAACCCTCTTTTGTAATATTCAAATACATCGTAAAATTCCTCTTGCTTTTGAATTAATTAATTAAGAGGATCATCCTCTTGTAAAATAACAATTTTAAAATAATGTACATGTATAATTTAGACTCTTAATTTAATTTTCTTCCAATCCAAAACTTTCGAAATTCAAAACTATTATTATTTTTTCCTTTTCTTTTTCTTTTTTCTAAGAAACATTATTTCGTAAAAAATTAAAATATAAAATATTTTAATCTCTAGAATTCAAAGAGATTTCCTAGTCAATCAATATTAATAACAATCATCTTTTTGATAGAATTAAAAGAATTTCGAAAGTTTCCAACCATAGAAACAATGATTCCCACTTTGCAAATTCTTTTAAGATTTCATTTCATTAGAAACCACACTCTTAAACCCATTCAAAATATACCAATTACGAATGATCATTAAACTTTCACGATCTCTAAAAAGTATTCACCAGAAGAGGATTAGTTTACTCACGCCAGTATGCTGGACATATGAAAGATCTCGGCGTTCAGGTAGGCCAGGTAGGCCATGACGAATATGAAGATGGGCTCGATCACGCGAACCTGGTGGGTGAACCTTGTAACAAAACCGGTAGCAAAGCCCCATATCACCCCTATTATCGTGCCACCGATCGCCACCACGAAGAACGAAGCCAATCCCGAGAGAACGTCCGTGTAAAGTATTTCCGTCGGCCCTATCTCGTTGTAAGCCTCGAACATATGGTACAGCACCTGTGTGTCATTAAACAACCGTAACTTATTAAGCTGTTCCAATGATTAAGAGATTCCGCGAAGTTAATTAATTAATTAGAAATTTTTCAGATTGCAATTGGGTCATGAAAACGTGTCTCATGGATAAGGAAATCGTACAATTTAATATAATATAATAATCGTTATTGGCAGATCGAGGATTATCTAATTTGGACTGAGATTAAATTTGAATTCGTTCTAATAACAATTTTAACTTTTATTCGAGTAAGTCGAGTAATTTGATTAGAATTCATGCTCTCTACCGTATCATTTTCTGTATCTATTTAAGCGTATTATTTATCCCAGCTCTTTCAGATTCTACGAATCCATTTATTTTGGGTTAATTTTAAGCGAACTGTAAATATAAATGATCGAACGACAGAATGATTCAATCGAAATTATTCGAGCGTTAAGAGAAGCATCATTTAGAATATAATATTTTAAGTATTTTTGTTCATTTATGAATTATTTTATAATGAATTATTATATAAATATTACGTTTCTACTTCCTTGTTTTCCTTTTTTTCTTTGAATAATTTTTTTTTTTTGAATAATCACTGAACTATATTTAAAAAAAATCTAGAGTTTATTAGAACACATTGAGAGGGTTTAAATTGTTTAAATCGTGCTTAAACAATACTTACCACAGTGACAGCGTCGTTCAATAAGCTCTCCCCAAAAACAACGATGTACAAGATTTCATTCACGTGGATTTCTTCGAAGACAGCTAACACGGCGACAGGATCAACTGCGCTGATCAACGCGGAGAACAGGAACATTTGTAAAAGTGGTGTTTCGAATCCGAAAAGACCACTCTTACCCAACACCCACAACGAAGCACCTATGAACAATTTAAAAGAATACTTATAAATAAAAAAAAAAAGAAAAGTAAAGAAAAATATTAAAATTTTTGATTAATCAATATTTATCCGTTCAATATTTAGCTTAATTGAAATTAAATGCGATTAAATGCGATTGAAATACAGTTATTGAAATTTTAGAAACAGTTCATTAAAAGATCAAAACGCAAGTTGTTGGATTTTCAATAATTTGGTTAAATATTTCATTCGTAAGCTCGTTTAACCGCTTTAAATTATGAATGTTAAGTACTTTATAGATTATTCCATTAATTTTCGATAAAATTGGATTTGAGCCAATAACAGATGTTCATATGTTTGCGTTTTAAATATATGTATTTTATTTTTTTTTTTTTTTTGGAAAAAATTATTTAATGGACGTATTATTCTCTCTTTTTAAACGGAATTAAAATTGTAGAGAACACGATAATTCCGAATAGGAAGAGATATTCGTTCAACATATTATAATACACAAAGAATAACTGTATCATAAAATTGTTGTTGAACAACAAATTGATACAAAAAGTTATTTCAAACTTTTAATAGTTCATTCGTTAATTGTTAAAAGTTTATTATGTTTAACAATGTTTCTCATTATAATAGAGTTTATATTAGTATTGAATACTTTTTTTAATGGTATTATTATACACATTATACATATTCATTATTTGAAGTTACTAGGTTATCTCTATTCGAAACGACTTCAATCGAATAACTTGATTTGTACGAATTCAAACTTGAATTAAAACTTGTATTCAGTTCACTTCAGTTCACTAATCTATTGAATTCGAAGAATTTGATTAATCTAAATGAGACTTTATCAGGTCTATTAATATTCATCAAACTAAAAATCGAAATTTTTATTTTAATTATTTATCGTTTGATCGAGTCTTTTTTTGTTTTTCTTTAATTTATATTTTAATTTTCAGCATGACTAGAAATATTATATACATGTTGTAAATTTACGTACATACTTCGTAAACTGTCGTGTTATATTATCGTTATATCTTCATATTATTTTTGACATGTAAGAGGGCGTGCAATCTACTATCTTTTCTAAAAATAGCGATTTTAATGACTGAAACACAAATTACTAGCAAAATGTTACGCGATAATCACAAAAATAGAATAAAATTTTATTCTCATAAACTAGTTCTTTTTTAATTATTAAAATAGTTATGAAGATATGTTTCTATTTCGATTCTCATATCAGTTTCAGAATATTGTTATATTTATTTTTTCGATTTGATTCGATGATTTGTTTCCAATTTTTTCTTTGATTGGGTTTTTCCTGTCTATCAATAACAGAATGAATTCTGTAACGATGAATATGATACGATATATAGTATGAATATTCTAATTTATAATAAGCGAATAGTATTTTCTCATTTCTATTCTTAATCCAATGATTTTAATTCCTCAATGATTAAAACTTTCTATTTTATCTTTGACGAAGTTTCAGCGAACAAATGATGAAATAAATTCCAATAGTGATTTATATTTTAATTTATAACAAAACATATCAAACGCGAGTGTTCTTCTTTTTCTATATTAAATATTTCCTCATCATATTCTTAACCTACCAATCATCCTTCCTCAATTCTATTCATGAATCATATTAGACTCTATATAATATAACGAATTCTAAACAAGATATCCACGTATCGATTTCATTGAATCGATGAATCAGTAAATCGACAGAATAAAAATCGTCACTGTAAAATATTTCGATGGTTAATTCACCGATGATAATAATACCGTAAGAAATCTCACCAATTACGTGGAGTCTTTAATTATCGCGGACATCATCGTCCTCTCGTGTAAGAGAACGTTTCGTAACGATGAAGCGCCGTTTCGTGAACGACACGTGCCACAAACAGAAATTGCGTGGGCGGTTCGACGTCCGCTTTTCACTCTCGATACAGATCTAGATGTGGGACTCTCTGTACATTGGGTGATTACGAAACACCGACCGACTAAACTTTGCAAAGATATTGACGTACGAAAGTGATCGATTTAAGTAGCTTGAAATACAGAAAATAATCGGATATTAAGTCGAACCACGAGTATCGTGTGGATTACGAGTTTTTGTATACTGTACTGTATACTGTTTTTGTAATTTGTTACAGATATTTATGATGGAATAATAATAGAACAAAGAGAGGATTAATTTAAAAAAAAAAATTAAGACTTCATGTCAATTAATTTAATAGTATAAATTTGATTTTTTAAACGAAAATTTGTAAATTTTTATTAAGAAGTCTTCTTTTTATTCTTATTGTAAAAATCATAGCTGAATGGATAAATATATTTAATATAAAATATTATATAACATATGTAAAATATATATTAAACGAAATGATGGTTGATTTTTTTTATTAAAAAAGCGAAGTTAATTATGATTTAACCCCTTGATATTGATATGTTTAAACTTTAAAATAATCAATGATTAGTCAAATATACCCTAAAATTTCCTACATAATTTTCCTGAAGGGGGTTCAAGAAGATCGTAAATTAAAAAAAAATATATATAAATATAAACAAATATGTGTATATTTGTACAAGATGCATACACAATAATAATTGATCGAAAGTGAGAATTATTTTATCGAGTCATTGTGAGAGACGAGCTAACAAAAATAATAATAATAAAATAATTTGATATTGAAAGGATTTACCGAATTGTATGATTTAATTGCATCGAACTATTTTTATAATATCAAGTGAATTTTTGATGTGGATAAGAAGAGCGTGAATATAAAAGAATTGCTACTGATAAAATTGCTACTGATTTTGTTAAAATTCCTGTAAATCATTCAGATGACGTGAAAATACACGATGCTGTTAGTGAAGTGTTGACAGACTTTACCATTTAATCAAGAACGAATCTTTTATTCCATTACGAGAACTAATTAGCTCTGTAAAGTGCACTTGCACGATTTTATCGCATCAAAAGCCGCTTATGTTCGAGAAAGAAGTGTTCCTGGACCAGCATCAATAATTTCACAAGCAGTTTTCAGAATCATTCTTTATCATGCATTTCTACCAAAGTAACATGAAGGACAGAAAAGCTAAATAAAATAGAAGTTATAAAAGTATCCAAAAGGGAAATATTACTATGAAGCTAAATACAAAGTAAAGAAAATGAGAAAATTTACTCATTTCAATGAGAGTTCTTTAAAAAAAAAAATCTGACTATTACTTTTTAAAAAAGTATTATATATAATTTCTCGATTTATATTCGAAAAGAACATTCACATCCATGATCTTTTTAACTCATCCTCTCGTTTTCCAAAGTGGAGATTGAAAATAAAAAAAAAAAGATCAATTCAACTAAAATTATTACTCCTTATTTAAAAGAAGAGAAGATTTATTCTCGCACCTGATAATTCTTCGTTACCTGATAATTAATATTGAATCATTGATGAACCAATTCAGATGACGTTGCTTAATTTTAGAATAGCTTATTTTAATTTTCAAATATGAAACATAAATGAAGAATAAAGAAATTATCGGGTAAAAATAAAATTTATACCCATATTTATTTTAAAATAAAAATAATTCCTTCTCTTATGGTAATCTAAATATTATTGTTAAAATTAAACGCATTCCATTCCTCGCAAATATTAAAATAAAATCATGCACATACTTTCAAAGTGTATAGAATCCATTTTTACCAACCTATCGACAAAGTATTAAATATAGTCCCAATGACGGCGAACAGAAGTATAGTTCCCAGATGGTCGAAGAACAGTCGGTTCGGCATGAAGTATCCAGCATCCAGGATAATAGGCGGCAGCATGTAGAGGAAGAATGTGTCAGGAGTGAGAGGCGACACGTGGACACTGCTCGCCTGGAACAGTAGGACACCAACCACCACGCCGACAACGATCAGCAAACAGGATTCCGGAAAGATCTTGCTGAGCTTCGACGTCATGTGGAAGCCTGTAAACACATGATTTAACACTCGTTCAGCGGCCCGATGGAAAATGGAAAGAAAGGGAAGAACGGTGGAGAACCCTTTTGGTGGTTGGGCATAGTGGTAGGATGCAAACAATGGTTCCGTTATTAACCCTCGTTTGGAGAACAGCGAGGCTCAAGCTACTTTTTAAACCGCCTGTTGCGGGGAAATTGGTTTCCTTGTCTCTGGTTTTTGGTGCACCCCTTTTTCGATGGTTTGGGGTAGTGGAAATTTCGTTGGATGGTGTTGAGTGTGGTTGCAAATATTTGTTATATTGTTGTATATTGCATCTGTTATTATTTACACCATGGAGAGTTAAATTTGAAATTTGATTTCAGTCGATCGAACGTTTCAACGTGTAAAATAATTAGAGATATTAATTTAATAGAAATATTTGAGCATAGATGTGTTATTGATTATGAAAGTATGAATATTCAATCAAATGTGTTATGGCTACCGTGAATCTATGCGAATGTTTATATACATTATATCAAATTTATTCTCTTGATTTATGAGGTATATGTATTATTATTATTCATTGTATGCCGAACTAATTTGAAATTTAATTTCATTCGATTAAAGTTTTACTGAAATTATATTTCTCACATATTGAAAATGTTAATTTGATACGAATATTTCTACATAGTTCCATTATTGATTGCGAAAATATGAAAATTCATCCAAGTTATAAATAACTTTGAAAAGTAGCTTGTTGAAATAATAATATAAACCAGTTGAGTGAAATTTTAAATATAGCGAATAAAAGATTAAGTGCTTGTATTAAACTAGTCAATTTCAAAAGTCAAATTAATCAATTACTCTTTTCAGAGATGTTTGATTTATAGGATTAATTGATTAATTTATAAATGGTTTAAATTTTGAAAATCGTATAAGTCTATTTTAAAATTACCTATATTAATGATTATTAAACTGATAAATATTCAATGAGATGACACTATATATCAATTGGAATGATTTGAATGAGTTTTCAATCAAATCTATTTTGAAAAAATGAATGTATTTCAAATGAATTTTCTTTGCAACTGGGATATTGAATATTTTTATAATTTAATCAATTTACGACGTAATTAGTGTTTACAACGTTCGTTATTTGTATTATTCCAATTATGAATTATTCTATTATTTGTTTAAAATTTTTATAAAAATTTAGATCACGAATTCGTTTGATATATGATACAAAAAACATTTGCATTAAAAAATTAAATTATTAATCAATAACTTGCGTAATTGTAGTGCAAAAGATATTCGATTTTTCGTTATTTTTGTTGTTGTGTTTGGTTTGTTTCGTTTATTTGAATTTTAATTTCAAGACCACGTGAAAAAAAGCATGATATATTTTATTGATTTTATTTTTGTCAATTTTTTCATTTTCGTATGCCATTTTAATTAAAAAAATTTAATGCTTTAATCTTTTTAAAATTGAATTCTTTTCCATCTTTAAAAAGAATCGTTTTTTTATTATTTATTAACTTTAAAAATGCATTATTTCTGAATCTCATTTCACTGAATCTATATTAATAATAAAAAAATAAATGCTCTCGTCGTTTGACTAATAAATATTTGTAGTGTATAATGTTGCGTGTACGCAACATCAAGCGTGAAAAGGTTAATATGACCTAGTTGGAAATGGGAACATTCTTTTAGGGTCAAAGATACAAGTCTTCAATAAATTAAGTCTAAACTTTTGAAGAAGACATATAATCATATAATTACTGCTATAACAAACAATATTTATATAATGTTAAAAATCAAATAAATATATCTACATGGCAAATACAATTTTGATAATGAAATTGATCGATAAACTTAAATTTTTTCATTTCTTATAAAAATTAAAAAAATGTGACGTATATTTTCCCACTATAATATTTATTTTTGAACATTTTAAATTAAGCAATTAAAAAATAATATTTAAATGCATTTTTAAAGTGCATACGTGATATCTTACAGACATTAATGTCAAATACAAGGTAGAATTATTGGTTTTTATTCTTGCAAAATATATAGAATCTATAAAAAGCCATAGTGTATGAGTATAGTAGTTCACGTGCACGTTACAAACACGATCGATTGAGAAACAAGTAGAACCTCTGTTATTTGAATCTCCAGTTTGTGGATGTTCTATTAAGGTCTCTGAACAGTGTATTATCGATACTGTTGTATTATTCTCTCCTATTTCGCAATGGGGATGCTTTACACCGATTCGAAATATAGTAGAATGTAACACAATGTACCTCTATTTATAGAGTTTAATATGAATCTAATATCCAATAATCATTTATATAATCAATGGTAACATTCATGAGTGGACTTTATACAAATCATGAGACAATTGATCTATTTAACAAAGTTAAATAGTTAAAATTATTCCAAATAATAAAAACGGATAAGTACTTTCTATAAATTATTTGTTAAAAAGAGAAAAATAAAAGAATATTTGAATAATTTATAGGATTTATCCGTGAAATTTATTTGCATTCGTTTGAATTTTTCAAACAATAGAAAACACGCTACGATTTTATCATTGTTTTATAAATATACGAATAAACATACAGAGAAATATATATTCGAACAAATCGGATTAAAATTCGGTCGTACGTTTCCACTTCGATAATTTTCAATATTTGCTGCAATTTTGTTTCAATGTTTTTATAAAAAATTATCTATCAACTATATATCGTGTTCCGGAAATTATAGAGAAGTTATTTCAACCAAACAATGAAATCTATCTTCTGTCTTCTAACTATTCTCTTTTATAAAATATTTAGCTAATCTCAATTATTTTAGAAATTTATTTTTCAAATATATCTTTCATAAATTTCAATATTATCGTATAGAAAGAACATAAAAGAAAATCTATATCATCGATGGGAAACAATAATAAAAGCTAAGTCGTAAATCAAATATTATCTTTTATGTTCCGTTTAATAAAATTTCAATATTGTCATCAATTAAAAGAGAAGAAAATCCACGTTGTTCCAAGCAAACGATTTCATTTCTTTTAATTATTAGCTTTTACAAAACATCAATCCCAATTATTTATCACTTTTTAATTATACCGTATTCACGAATCCCAATATTATCGCAAGGAATAAAAGAAAATCCATATCAGGTAATAACGAAACCTCAATTGTAAATTAAATATTATTCTATCTTCCATCCAACAAATCTCAATATTATCATAAGGAATGAAAAGAAAACTTGTTCGAGCAAACAACAATAATTTTTCTATCTTTCAAGTATCATCTCTTAGAATATATTTATCAAGTTCCCATATTATAAAAAAAAAAAAACAAAAAAAAACGCGAAATATTATTTGCAAATCAAATTCTAACCCTTTCGAACGATTTCTCGATCCAAAGTTAAAATCCATAAAGGTTCATCGATCCTCCCTCGCGCGTCAACCATCCAACAACATCAACAAACAACCATCAGAGTCCCTGAACCAGAACCAAGTTCCAAGTTCAAGATTCCATACCTATTTTCGCGATGCTGGCAAAGAAGATCCATATTCCAATGACAAACGGTGTCTCCACGCGATGAAACTCCACGGACATGATCTTATACTCCGGCTTATGTTTTTCGATTTTTTCGACAGCGTGAGGCGACAGAAGTTCGATCGAGTTCTCCCCTTTCTCCTGTCCAGACGACAGACTTCGAAAAGAGACGTCATCCGGGAGGGAGCCATCGATAGGACCCATTGGTCCAAAGCTCTTGCCTGGATACGGCTTCCTGAGATCCCTGGGGAAGTCGTGGTCGTCGACGATGGGCCCGTGCATCGCATAATCATTGATGGGTATTCGCCTGTTCGGTTGCAGATGATCGGGCACAGATTCGTAGAACTTGACCAAGCCTGTCCGTCCGCCTGTTGGCCAACCAGCGACGAGTAGGATGAGAACAAACGCGATCATCGTCGAGGTGACAACACGTGTAGCCATGACGACGTGACACGGCGACTGTGGTGCTGATCGCGGGGACCGCGCTGCTCGTTCGCGCTCGTCCACCGGTGCTGAGTCACCCTCAGTACCATCAGAAGAGACCTCCAACCACGAGGAACCTACACCTTGAAAGGCTCCCGCTGTTCAGAGAGTCGGGACCCTCCTATGCTCTCGAGCTCACCCTTCAACTCCCTTCAACGCACGACTATTTCGCTCGCGACACGTTCCCAAGATTTCTACGAGTTATTCAACGTCGAAAATTATTATTATTATTATTATTATTATTATTATTAATTTGACTAATATTGATCGTTTAAGAAGTTGAGTTTTTATTGTATCACACGTGGAAGACGATCGTTTCACTAAATACGACAATACGATTTGTTTATACACTTTTTGTTCAACGAAGTTCGAGATTAAGACGAGCCAATGTTTATTGCTTTTACGGCAGGTATTTTACGGCTCACGGATTAGCCGGTCTGTTTTCTGTCACTGATTTAATCATAACATAGAGACGGAGAAAATACACACACGATTCGCGATAGGAACTACGAGTTTTTGTTTGAACAGTATGTATGCACTCGATATTCTCGATATTCTTCCTCTTCTGAGATCCAGATTATAACGTTGGATTTGGATTTGTTAATAGCGGCCCGGAATATTTCGCGTATATATATATATGTGTGTGTGTATATATATATCGATTCCACGAGACGCAGCTGGGATCCTGGTGGCGAGAAACAGCTAGCAATTTTCCATCCTTCTCTCGATTGTGTCGGCCCGAGTGCTTCTATATTTGTATCCTCGCTGACCTTTCTCGGCCACGAGTTCTCTAGCCAATTTTCCAGTCGTGATGTCAACGAACCCTTCGATACGCTTGGGGGGAGCAAGAGAGAGAGTGGGAGGTGACCTAGACGACGGGCAAAATCGAGATCCATATTCGTTCCAGAGTGAAAAAAAAGGGGTGAGAGGTATCCACGACGGCATATTTGTTTTGCTTACTCACCCACGTTCGACGCTGCTTCTCTCTCGCGAGCGTGCTCTCTACGCGCCGTTTATTGGCCGGTTATCGACGACAGAGAGTCTCCTCGTCGTCGGTACGCAGCTGCAACACAGAACCAGACCAAGAGGAATCAGCCTTTCGTACAACTCTTATCCTTATACATTATAACCATCGCGTTTATGTTTCTCTAGATGGTCTCGCCATTACGAACGCTCCCCCAACGGATTTTTATATACACCCTTGTGTTCAACATCCACTCAGAGATCTCTCACAGCCCAGTCGAAAACAATCTCCGAAAAAAGACATGGAACTACACGAACGTACTATTCACGGCTGAGGAAAGGAGGCAGCGGGTCAATCGCTGGTCCAGACCTTCTCCAGGAACCTTGTTCACGCTGGCACCTGACGATGCACCACCCTCTTGTCCCCTTGAGGATCGTTCGGCGAGGACGCTGGTGGACACAGGGCGAATACGACGCAGTGGCGGCCGGCCAGATACATCGTGGTGTCGTTAAAATGGAAGGTTTCCTCGTTCCCAGGTTTCAACGGTGCGCTTCGATCGACCGTCACGGCAGCACTGCGCGAGGAGTGATCGTGGGGCCGCGCGCCGGCTCTCGAAAGAGCTCACGTCCACGTCGTGCACACGATCAACACCATTGCGACGAGTGGGACACCAGCGGCTAAGGGCAGCCACGAACGTTGCCAAAAACGTGCGTGTAGCTGGCGACGAGGCCACCCTCGACGTCGCTACTGATACCCGATGGACGTGTGCGCAGCCCTTCCTTCTCTAACTCTCGTCGCCTCGGCATCGCCCCTCTCGCTCCCTCCACCGCCTCTCCACCTCCCTCTCTCGCTCCCTCTACCGCGTTCTATCGCGTTCTCTCGCGCTCCGTCTCTCCTTTGCCCCTCGTCGAAGCGCCTCCAGCCAGCTGATCGTTGCGGAACCCGCGCAGGCGTCGCGACGCTCCGATATAGAGACGTCGCTGCTGGGTGTGCTTCGCACGCCGCCTCGACGCGAATCGTTTTGTTGTCGTGGACACCGCTCTCGAGATCGGGCAATGTTGCGTGCGAAAAGGGGATTACTGGAATTGTGCATGACACAGAATGATCGATAATCAGGGATGGATAAAGGGTGTATGGATAAAGGGATAGATAGACGGAATGGGATATTGAATTGCAGCGGCGGGTTTGCAGCTTTGTTTGCAGATGGCGGGAATTGGAGAAGCGGATGGAGGGAGATTGGAGATCGTGCTTTGCCTTCCTTCCGCGCGGATTTGTTTCTCGACGATGTTAAAGTGCGGCGTCTGATCTTCGAATTCATGAGATTTGAAACTGGATATTGGACGAGAGTGATAATTTTGACGAGAGGTTTCACGTTTTTATGATTGGAATCATACGCGCGACTGATGATTAACGATTATTGATCCGTGTTTGAATGTGTGTCTGTGTTCGATCTGTACCTCATTTTGATATTAATTCAAAATTAATGCCGCAGATATCAATCTCCGTATAGATAGGAATATTGATCGAAGAGTTAAGTGGTTTAAAATTGTTGATTATACGAAATGACGAAATAGTTATACTTTTCACTGTTTGTCGTCCCTTTAATTGTAACAAATTGAACAAATTTTATTTGAAATACGGATAAAAGATAACAATTTCGAATAATAGATTACTTCGATTATTTTATTGTCTCTTTTTTTAGTAATAAGAAAAATAAATTTATACTTAAATTTCATTCGAGTAAAATAATCTTGTAATATGAAGAATAATAAAATCGAAAACTATATAAAAAAAAACATGATTATTTAAATAATCATCATTAAAGTATCTTAATTTAAACAAATATCTAAAAATTAACAAAATTTTACATTACCTCTGATATTAATTTTAGGCAATTCAGGCGAGAAATGCTGTATTTATCGATGCAATTGGATTACAAGCCAATTATGGGATGTTGAGAGTTTCCACGTGTAGTTGCATATAGATAGATATAGGTCAGCTATGTAAACCAACGTTATGGAATCCGATCGAAATCCGATTTTTAGAGGAGGGAACGTATATGTAGATTTCCACGCTTTTGTTTTTATTCCTGTGACTTTTTTTTGCGACATGCTTTGCAGGGGAAATTCTCTCAAGAATATTTAATGAAATGCATCGCGTTTCTCCCCAATGAGAATCGGGCACGAAACAGTACGTCTATAGGGAATTGCACGATTCAAAGGGTCACTTTAATGTTTCTTTCGATTACATTAAGCAGAGAACAGTCTTTGTTTCTCCATGTTTCGCGTTGCGCATCTTCATTTTTTAATATTGCTGCAGATTAAATTTCAAACTAGGTCACCGGGATAAATTTATATTTAATTTTATCTCATGACAAGTAGATATTTTTAGATATTTGAATATAAAAAAATCTTGAACGAAATTTAAATATCAAAGTATAATATATCGAATGATACGATAAATATATTAATAATAATTTCATCAATTGCGCCAATATTCAATTAAAAATTTTTATCTAGGATATTTAATTAATTGATATAATTGATATTTAATTAATTAATACATTTGCTTTATAGAAAAAAAAATTCCTCAATCATTAAAATTTTAATAATATATAATAAATTATAATATATAATAAATAATATATAATATATAACATAATATCTATCGTACTTCTATATTAAAAAATCATTATTCAATGAAGAAAAAAGTTTCGTATCGGTTATTATCTCTTCTCGTAACTTAAATCAATCTAAATAAATTATTATAGATATTTACAATAAAATAAAATATCATTTCATAAGTTTAAATTAAAACCAAAAATTGTACAATTTCAATTACAAGTGATCAATACAAGATAATACAAATTTAACAATATACATCATTAAAAAGCAAAATTTAATATTATCAATTATCATTTATATAATAATTTAACGTCATTCAATATTGAATCAACAAATTTGATATCATTCGCTACCAAATTCGATATTATTAAATCCTATACCAATAAAAAAATAATATGTTCGATCGAACATGTACTCCCTCTCTATTTTCTAAAAAAATATTCGATACTTCCAAAATTGCCTTAGATAGAGATAAGTAAGTGCACACGACGCTCAAATCGACCGCCTACGTACACAACGAGGAGGATCCAAGTGAGAGCGACCTTAAACCAGCCCCGTCACGTCGCCGGATCTTGGAGACACCTTTAACCTTGACCTTGTCGCTGTTGCGCTAGCAAAATGTTCGGCTGCCTCGACATTCAAGCTCGCTACTTGCCAACCTTTTCGATCATACCCGCGACCCAGTGCTCGTTCTAGCCTACTTATATACCACGGTTTCCACGTGTGTCGATCCGACAGAGACAGAGGAGAAGGATGCACGATCAGTTCGGGGTGTATTCCACTCGACGAAACTGTGCACCGTGGGTATCGAGCTTTTTTCCCTCCCTCTTGTTACAAATGGAAAATCGTAAACTATACCGTTCCCTTTACGGTCGATAACAACGCGATAATTAAACGGACCCGGCTATTCGTAACAACGTTTCGTCCGGTTGAAACGAAAATGGAAATTGGTTGCTACGTTACCGTGTGTAGCTTCTTTCGTTGGAAAAATGGAGGAACGGTATAACGAACGACCGTAATTACCGGATGTAAGCTGCCATTTCAATTATTCCTCCGCGTATCGAGGAATTCGCGATAATCTCTTCCCTTCCTCTCTCCTCCCTCCCTTTTTTTTCCAACTTCGACTTTTCTTTGTTTTTTTCTTCTTGGATTTCGAACGATTGAAAAGGGGGATAATCACGTTTCCCTTATGAACGTATCGGGGGAAGGTAATATAATTTCTTTATAATTGATTTCACGCTTCGTTTCGCGTGTCGGTTAACCGGATAAAATACTTGGCGAATGAATGATTAAACGAATATTGTCCGCTGGCTATGTCAAGGGGATCATGATATAACGATTTTTCGTTACATATGTTCCTTTCTCTGTTTTTCGAAAGGTGGCACGGACAAGTTTGCGTCGCGGGGTGTAGAACGTGCGGTAATAAATTTGATATTAAATCTCGGTATTCGAATTATTTCTGCAGCTATTAATTCTCATTTCAACCCGTGGCGCTCGAAATCTCGAAACGATGAAAATGGGGACACACGTGTGTCCGTATACCGTAGAAAACCGACGTCAACGGTTTTGATTAATTACACCCCGTGTTTTACGTGAAATCTTAAAAATACCAACGTCTTGAACTTCGTTCGAGCTAATCGTATCTGTTTTAACAAGCTGTTGCAATTGCGGTGGTTACGAGAGTTATCAGTTTTTGTTTTTTTTTTTCGAGGAAGAAAGAAATTAATCTGGAATCTTCAATTTTTGTTTGATAGATTAAAATTTTCTTTAACGAAATATCTAATGCATATTAATTGCATATTATTAATCTGAATAAATTGCAATCTAATCGCATAAGAAATAATGGATCTTATAATTAAGATTAGAGTTGTTTTAATTGAAAACTTCAAATATTAAAATTTTCTTTCTCATTATTATTATTATTATTATTATTATTATTCAAAAAATAATTATATATTATATTTAAAAAATAATAGTTAATTAAAGATAATTTATCAAAAAAGAATCCTTTATTATAGTTAATTACATTAACTATAATAAACTATAATATATGCAATTAGAGTCGTAGCTATTAAAATTGAAAGAGGATCGTTTTGATTGTGAATCTCTCAATTGAAAGAATTCATTTTATTACCATTACCATCTCGATCGCATTTGTGAATATCGTTATACATCTAAATAAAACTGTATTGTTCTTGTATTCGATTCATGTAAAATTAAATTGTCGTAAATTTCATTGGCCGAGTTTACAGAATGATTCAATAATCCGGAATCATATAGTCGTTATATAAATATACACGTGAAACGTACAATGTTACAAATCGATACAATACATTCCAAAGCTATTTTTCTTTAGTTTATCGTATCCATTAGGTTGTCAAGTTCATATCGTATTTATTTTGAATTTTTAATAAAAACTTTGCTCCACTTTTCTCCGCATTATTTATTACATGTGAGACATAATTAATCATCGATTATTTAAAGCAGAAAATAAAATGTAATAAATCATTCTTTTCTTCACCTCGTGAACAGTCAAGGATTCAAAGTTCCATTACCATTAAGACACGATATACCATTTTTCCTTCGTAAGTAAGTTAAATACATAAGAGAACGAAAAATGTTACATTTTATCGTTTTTTCCTCTTTAAAGAAAAAAAAAAGGAATTACTATTTTTGAACAAAATTGTTATTAATTACCTAGCAATGTAAAATCCAAAATGTTACTTATGACTGTCACATGACTGCAATTTATTTATTCCGTTCTTGTAGAATTTTCCATTTTGTTAAAAATTCTTTCAATCTGGTATCACTTTGCATTGAAATTTTTCTTAACAAGAATTATTTTCAATCGAGTAATTTTTAGAAGAAATGAAGAATTTTTTTTGAGAAATCATTTTTAATTAACTGTCATATATTTAATTACAATATATATCTATTATAATTTTTATTATATGATTTCTCTATTTTATAATGGAAGAGCTGAAAAGCTTCAAAGGCAATTTACTCAATTCGCTATTCTATCATACTAGGTACTTTTTTCAGAAAGCTTCACGAGTTAATTATTCCATAGCTGTAAAATTTTTCATTCCTGTTATTAAAATATTCTTTCAATGTTTCTTCGTATTGAAATAATTTGATTTTCTGTATTGAATTTTTTCTGAAAATATAATTTCATAAAGATCGGTACAAATTATCAATTTATTTGATGAGACTATCTTTATTGCAAATTTTTTTCTTCGGGGAGATGCACTTTGCCGCAGAATCCGTTTAATGAATTTTTCAAATCAAACTCTGAACGACTAATTTGTTCCAATATCGAATCCTTTTCTTCTTGCAGTTTTTGTCTTTAAGATATGCATAAGATTTAACACATAATTTTACACATAATATTCTATATGTGTATATTCTTATATAATATTTGTAAAAAAAAATTTAATTTTTATTTTAAATTCCAAAAAAATACAAACGATAGAACAATTATAGTCACCCTATATATCCAATTCAAATCTATAAATGTATAATCAAAATCTATAGAAGTTCTCGATCAAATCCAAAAGAACAAAATACACAATCTGGAAGAAATATCAATACCACATAATCTTCCCTTATCACCATAGAACATGGGATCGGTCGATATCTATCCAGATAATAAGCCTATTGATAATCGGCCTAGCACGAAATCTAATTCTATCCGGTTGAATCGACCGGTTCCACCAACTGTTCATTGATAACGCGTTGCGTAACACGCATCAACTCGAATTTTATGATCGATTCCATCAAGATACGTCGAGATACGCACACATCCAAATCGTTTCGAGGGCGGAGAGATTCCGGATAAAGGCTTATTCGAGCCACTTGCAAACTCGAATCTATTATCAACGAGAAAAACCGGTTACCAGGGATTCGATTGACGCGTTTTATTTACAAGGGAAGGTGTGCAGGGGGA